GCGGGGGCGGGGGTGCCCGCGCGGCGCCCTGGTTGCGGCCGCCGTCACTGCTGCTCCTTCTCCGAGGCCTGCGGTGATTCAGAGCGGAAAACATTAATAACAAAAGCTATGTTTAATCAAGCTCAGCCCCGCATTCAAAGCCACACTGAGAGGCTTCAGCCCGCCCCCCCACCACCGGTCCAAGGGCAGAGTATAATGACCGCACCGGCGCTCACCACGGGAGCCCGTGGCCATCACTGAGTCACCCGTCCTTCCTGTGTTACTGTCAGGTCATTACTGCCAACTTAGAGAAAAGTCTGCAACATTCACACTTTCCATGCATACATCTACATATAAAATACTTGTCCTACATGTCGTGCCACAAACAACACCATACTCCATGAGTTCTGTTCGTTGTTGCACTATTTTTTTGTCCAAAAAGAAAATAGTGCAAAAAAAAAAAAAAATCTAATTATGTGCCTACACAGGGAAACAGTGGTTAGTTCCTTTGCCTTACAGCAACCCTGGCCTGTGGACAGCTGTGATTGGCCCCAGCTCCCCTGACCCTGGTTCAGTTAATGGTCGACTCCAACATTGACGTAGATGAGTGTGGATGTTGTTTGTCTCGAGTTGTTTCTCTGGTATTTCAAAGTAATTCACTGAGTTTTGGAGCCTGGTGATTGTCCACTGTGTCGAATTCAAATACCTAACAATTGTATTAATTGACAGGAAAATGTTGTTTTGAAATATATTACTTCAAATCAGGTAGACGTCGTCCTCTGTGGCTCCTTCCTCCGTCCGTCCGCCTCCGTCCTTGTTCTTTTCTCCCGTTCTAACTGCAGCATTACACGAAACATTGGGCAGTATTTTCAGCCAATCATCTGTTCCAAAAAGAAAGACAATTAGGAAAACCAGACTGAAGGTAGTGTCATCTAACAGTGGGAATTAGAACCACTAGGCGGCAGTAATTAAACGTAAAAGATGAAACTCTACCGTCAAACTCCAGTTTAATGCGGTGGTCCTCAATTATTTTCTGTCACCCCACTGCCCCCCATCCCCCCGGGATAGAAATGTTTTCACCCCCCTCGAATTAAAATACTATTGAGATCCTGTCCATTTGTGACATCTTAATCACGCTTCTTTACACTGTAATACACACAGCAGCAAGTCATGTCTGCAGCTAATCTGCCACAGATTAGAATAACCCCAGGGTGTAACATGTCAAATGTCCCCCACAGATGGATTTGTAGATGTGCCACCACCAGTTTATCACCAGGATAAATCTTTGTCCTTACCTTGTTGTTGGCTTGTGGTTGTTGTCTCTGAAAGTTTCTGAAGATGACAGATGTGGTAAAACCACGTCTTGTGATTTTATTGTCTACTTCCTGCTTCACGTACAGGATATAATTTACCCAGTGTGTAAAGCAGGAAGTCGACAATAACGTTTTAATTAGAGAAACTGCACAACAGAGGAGAGAAATACACAGTTTGTAAAATCAGTGAATTCACTTTCTTTGGCAGATCTTCTCCTGAAGTGAAGCTTCAAAAACCTGTGGCCTCGGTCCATATAATAAGTAAGAAAGGATGGGCAGACTTGATAACATGGGTTTTCCTTTCTGTGTAATTTGTGGCTAAAAATATCTCAATGCTGCTGCTCACCAGGAATGTTCCGGACCAATGACCTGACAACTGTATCACTTCTGTTGTTGTCAATCCCTTGATATCGACTAGAGGATGAAATAAAAGAATCATTCCAAGTGTTCTCCGGAATATCAAAGTTTATTAAAAAGAAAGAGATTAGAATAAAAAATAAACATGAAGCTGTAGGTGTTGTGACGGCCTATCATAAACTAGACTCAAACATCCTGAGGCTGTTTTGGGACAAACAGTAGCAACATTAAAATGCTGCAATTTCTAACGGTTGTCAATCACCACCATCTACATCCACAAAGCAGCAAACACACACACTTGCCCATACACACACATCCAAGTTTCCATAGAGAAGAACCCTACTGGATTTCTCCCATGTAGAGCCGTTTATCACTGGAGCCAGAAAGCACTGTGTGAGGGGGGGGGGAAGAGAAGACATTTAGTTTAGTTTTTCCTGTAACCAAGCTGGAGGTGAGCTACAAGCTACAATTACACTAGAAGCCAAGCGGTTGACCACGGTCTGCCCAAGCCACATAAACATGAAAAATCACAGCCTTTTTTTTCAGTTTGTCCTCGAACACGAGGACACTAAACCTAGGCCATGAAACTTTAACATTTCCCCATCCTATATATATTTTCTGACATACAGTATATTACAGCCCGTAATCCAAGAATGACGTCAGGGATCCACTCACCAATGGGCTCCTCTGGGTGGAAGGCCACTTCATTGACTGAGCCGGCGTGACCAGGAAGCTTGTACAGGATCCTGCGTGATGTGGTGTCCCAAATATACACAAACCTGTAAACACAGCCAGTCATCAGTGATGAAAAAGATAAGGATGTTTGACACTCCTAACATATTTCTACCGAAAAAAAGTTTCCTGACTGAAGACAGTTTGATACAGAAAGACCAAACGATTCTAAAGATTTGAGTCACACATCAGACAACAAAGGTCAGGAATGTCAGCTCTGGTGAATGAAAGAAAAAAACCCTGTGCGTTAACTGTTGAAGAATTTCTCATATGTTGTGGATCACAAGGAAAAATCTTTTGTAGTAAAAGACAGATGTGTGAAATGAGCAAGGACGGAGCTGGAATCTGAGGATTAGCCTGGAGGGACTGTCAGGCTCCGACAAAAATGACTCTGAACCTGATAATTAAGTAGAACTACGCCCCTAGCGTGTGTGTGTGTGTGTGTGTGTGTGTGTGTTGGAGGATCGTCTTACCGATCTGCAGAACCTGCAGCTATCTTACTGCCATCAGTGGACCAGGAGCATCTCAGTAAGTTCTGAGCAAACCACAGAGACAGATGTTAGAAACACGACACAACCATCTGAGCTGTACGCGACTATATTTAGATTAAAGACAAGAATCATTAGAAAGGAGAACAGAGCGAAGGCAAAAAGAGAGGATCAAACATCACACATCTGCGGTCAACAGCAGCACGGGGTGGGGGGGGGGGAGACGCACTCGCATGTGTTTGAAATGTTGAAGAAAAAAAGAGACTAATGTTTGCACCTTTGTTCCATGTAACTGTACATGTAAGTGTATGATGGTACATTAGCTACAACACATTCAGTTCAGTTGGGAAATGGTTAAAAATATAGATAATAAGTTAACAAATAACAATAATTAGTTGTGAATGTAAAAAAAACCTGTTGGCGACACTGGGAGGCATATCTGAGATAATATGTTAGAGTTATTCAAATTTCACAATCATACAGTCTCAAAAAGTTTTTTTTTCCTATTCTTGGTGCCTATAAATATGTATGTGTTTCTGTATCAAATAAACTGAGGTTGTGTTACAATGTTGTTCAGCTTTTCTTTCTTCAGATCAGGCAGAGACAAGATGAGGTGAATTCTCTTTTTGTACAGTCAATAATCCCTGGTCCCCAAAGTAAATTAGGAATGAGATTAATGTTATGAACCACTCCATTTAAACCTGGTTTATAACACTTCATTTTTGCTTACTCATTCTATTAAAAAAAGGCACATCGATACTTTCATGCATGTTTAATGCAGTCGCTGACAAAGAGGTCGGACGCAGGATCTCATAAAGTACCTTCTCAAAGTTGTGCACGTTGCCCTGGAAAATCTTCACGCATCTCTCCTTGGGTGCAAATGGTCGAACATCCCAAATACGCACTACACAGAAAACAGGATGAAGGACAGGTAAGAGTTACTGGGCATCATGTCCTGAGATGGAGACATCCTACACACGTCCTACCTGTGTTGTCCATGGAGTTGGAGAGAAGATATGATCCTTCAGAGCTCAGTGCCAGTCCGGTCACAGAGTCCCCGTGGCCGTGCATGTTGTAGATCAGCTTGTTCTGCCTCAGGTCCCAAACCTGCACCAAAACCACACAGCTAAATCAGGGAATGGGCTAATAATGCTGACTGTGCAAAAGATGAATGCATGAGTAAGAAAGTACCAGGCAGCTCCGTTGGTCTGCTCCTCTTAACTTGATTTAAAATGTCATTAAACATTTATGGTCCAAGTTGCAAGTTTAAGGTCTTCAAAATAAAAATGGTCCCATTTAGAGGAAAACAGACGGCAGCACTCTGCACTGGGAGTCTAATTGTAAGCATTTACCACCTTAACAGTCAGGTCACCTATGGACCATTAGCCTTAATGGTATTTTAACAAATTTAACCAATTGTTTTTCACCACACACTCAGTGCCATATGTTCTGGGATCATATTAAGGCTATTTGTTTCTTCCACATCAGATCTTCAACTTAGTGAAGCCCAGAGGGAACACCTCACACAAAATCAGCCTGTGTAAAAGGTAAAAGTGTGAATTTTCTTTTGACCCCAGAGAGGATTAAATACTGCTAAGTCAGACCAGTACTGTTCTCAATGCAAATGGTGTGTAATGAATCTGGACAGCAGTATTTAATCAAAGTTATAGACTTCTGTAGTGAACTACAAGGAGGAACATAATAATCTTTACTGCAGTAGTACTCAAACACCGAACCTTGATGTCGTTGTCGATGCCTCCAGACAGAATCTGATCACTGGTGTCATTGAAGGTGACAGCCAACACTTGATAAGTGTTCTGGAAGGTGTGGATTGCGCCCTTCTTACGAATGTCCCACAACTAACACAGAGACAAAAACACAGGCAATCAATAAATGTATCATCAGCATTGTGTGACCAACAGCTGTTAACACACAGTGTTATCAGGGAAAACCTCTAAATAATTGTGTTCAAGGTCAAGTAAGAATAAGTTGAAATCTTTTTTTATAAAAAGCAACCAGAATGGACAGGATTAGTAATGAGCCGATGAGACAAACAGCTGACATTTGAAGATGAAGTTAAAGAGGCAGGTTGAGTTGATTTGCAGAGTGCAAATAATGGGTGATAGAAATAGAGCTGCACGGCAGGAGGAAGAGAGGAAAACACACAGATGTAGTTAAGGAGGTGTAAGAGCTGTGGTGACCCCACAGAAGGAAAGAAGGATAAAAACGTTTCAACAAAGGCAACTCAACTCACCTTGACTGTACCATCATCGCTGCCAGTGCAGATGAGCTGTGGGCCTCTGCGAGCCGGGTAACAAGTGTTAACAAAGGAGGTGTGGCCCTTCAGACGCTTGACCCTCTCCCCTGTCTCACTGTCCCACACACCGACAGTCTTGTCTGTGCTGGCTGAGAAGAGCAGACTGAAAAAAAAGAACAGATGAGAAAGAATTACTTTAATTTTTTAAGTAAAAAAAATGCTAGTACTTTCATTAAATGTTCTTCTTTCTTACCTGCCGTCTGTGTTGTAGTGCAGCTCCATCACTGCTCCACTGTGGCCCTTCAATGTGGCATAGTTTTCACAATCTCCATAAACATTCCACATCACTGTAGCAAAAACACAGTACACAATTAAACCATATGTTAAAAAAAGCTAAACTAAATAAATGAACAATTATTAGCAGCTGTTAACAACACATACATATGAGCCTGTCGAATCCTGAAGAGGCCAGTGTGGCACCATTGGGATGAAACTTGCAGCAGTAGACCTCGCCCTCATGACCAGACATGAGCATGATGGGAGCCTGGAGGCTGGAGGTTCGTGGAGGGCCCTGCAACAGGAAACTTAATTTAAATGGGTTTGTTCCATTCTTGCTGCATGGTGTTTCCTACTGAGCCAATTGTTGTACACCAGAGGACCAGCTTCTGTTCTCATCAACACTGACCACTTATATAATTCTTCAAATAAACCTTTAGATTAGAATGAATTTCTCTTTAGAGAAACAGTAGTCAAGTAGAATCAGGATGTTAGTGCTTTGTCCATAAACTTTAAAACGATCAATTCATTTTATAATAATAAACGTCCGGATGATTTGTTTTTATTGATATAGAGAGATACAGAAAGTCTGAAGAGAACATAAAGTTGTAGAATCATAGCTGAGTGAGACTCGGGGTTCTTTATTTACATTTCACAGAATACTGGACTTCTTGTTCCTGTTAACCACGACACGGTGTGCTTGACTTTAGCCCACAAAGCAGAAACTTTTTAAGCACTCTAACATGTTCCCTTCGAAACCAGAAATTTGAGAAAGAGACACTGTGGGTTTAATATCTTCTCTTGGAATTTTTTGTTCACATTCATTCTCTTACCGTGGCCACGAGTTGCTGAGACTGAGCCGCCGCTACTAACTCATTTCGGGGTCTTTTCACGGCAGTAGCAACCAACGCCAGGTCCGCCGCTCTCTTTTTAGGGTCAATCATCTTCGTTTAATGGAGAACAACGGGAGAAACGTTTATACTTCCAAATTCTAATTTCAAACAGCTATCAGTCCCTATCGTAAACTGCTTCAACCGTGGTAAAACCGAGGAAGAACGACGAAGAACTACTTCCGCCTGCAAACGCTCTGTGATTGGTTGAGGTCTGAATGGACACGATTGATTGGCTGGTTTCCTTGTTGTCGTTCTTTGTGCACCGGAAGTGAAAGCGAAGAAGCGGCAGTAAGAAGGGTGACAAAGTTTTATTTAAAAATAAATGGTTCTGATCTATTTTTTAATATATATGTCTTACAGTATAATTTTAGGCACGGAGAACGAATTCTATTTATGTGTTTTTAAAGGTTAAATATTCTTTAATAGGCTTCTTAGAAAACATCGCTGCTAGCAGTAGCTTAGCCTCTGCTGCTGTTTTGATTTTATTCATTTACAAAGTTACCGTTGCTTTATTATTGTATTCGAGAACCTATACCTGCGTCTTTATTGCATATGGAGATCATTGAGTTTAAGACAATTCGTTTAAAACTAATGTGTGAGGGCAACCATTAAGCGTCAGTATAGCGAACGTAAAGGGAATGACATTTAATTCACAGATATTTCAGTAGTGTTACTTGAGTTGTCAAAGATCACCTGGAGAGTAACAGTAAGGTTTGTATACATGTGCACCGCATTGTTATTTGATGAAAGTTTTTTTTTTCACTTCGATAAAAGTTTGCTTTCCTTTAATTTTGTTTCACTGCTATGCAAATATATATCACCCATTTCTATTTTTCTAGATCTAATACAGATACAGTTGGGGGCCTGCTGCCACGATGTCAGACAGTGATGGTGCAACACAAGAGCCTGCTGGATTGGAGGGTCTACCACCAATTTACAGCATCTTAAAGGGAGAAGTGGTTTCTGTGCAGACTTATGGAGCTTTTGTCCGTCTGCCAGGATACAGGAAGGAAGGTGTGTGTGGTCGATTTTATAATTATATACACAATCACTTCTAGTTTCTTCAGATGTAATTACACAAAGAAATAAAATAAATATACTGATTAGAATGTCTACAAGAAAGTCCAAATCGTTTATGTATTTAAAAATGATCTTCTTGTTTTTGTTCTTTTCTCAGGCCTGGTACATGTCAGTGAGATGTCTGCCTCACGGGTGGAGAAGGCCTCAGAAATAGTGGATGTTGGGGAACAGGTGTGGATTAAAGTCATTGGAAGAGAGGTAACGCACAAGGATACACAAACACAGAATAATGTTTGTGAACGTCAGTGTGGCTGCAGCTCTTTCCTCCTTTTTGTCAGATTCGAGGGGACAAGGTCAAGATGTCCTTCTCAATGAAAGCTGTCAATCAGGGAACAGGGCGAGACTTGGACCCCAACAATGTCAATGCAGAGTGAGTGCTTATAGTGTTATAGTGTTGATGCCTGTACTTCTTTAGCTATGTCACATGCTATGATCTGTCATTTGACTGTAGGCAAGATGCCAGGCGACGAAGGCAGTTCAGAGACCAAACTGGAAACAAGATCACACTGGAGGCCGTACTCAACACCACGTGTTCAAAGTGTGGTTGCAAAGGTACAATGACAGTGCAGTCGTTATGGGTGTTGAATCTAAACATAAGTCCACTTACTTTTACTCATTTTGTCTTCTGTCATAACTTGAACACGTTGGTGTTTCTCATAGGTCATTTTACAAAGGACTGTTTCTCTGCCCCGGGGTTGCAATACGCTCTTTTGCCAGAAGAGGACGACAAAGAGCCACAGCAGCAAAGCTCTGCATCTGTTCTAAAGCAAGACTCAGACAAAAAGAAGAAGAAAAAGAAGGTCAGTGTGTTAGTCAACTATTGTTGGATTGTCCTTACTACTGTTAAATCTCCTGTTCTCTTTTCCCATACTGCCTAAACATCTCTATTCAAGCTGTCTTTATTTTCTACTTAATTCAGGAGAAGAAAATGAAGAAGAGGAAGAGAGAGAGAAAGGAGTCAGACAGCGACAGTAGCAGCAGCAGCGGTAGCAGCGAAGACGAATGTAAATCCAAGAGGAAGCGTCACAAGCACTCTCATGACAGAGAGGACAAGAAGAAGAAGAAACACAAGAAACACAAATCTCATAAACACAGCTGATACAGAGACACTTGTACACTTACAGCAGCTTTTGACACAGGTTGTTAAAAAAAGGAGGTGATTAGAAAAAGACGGGAACTGAACTACAGCTGTGTTTTCTCAGTGAATCACAAGCTTATTAAAGGAACTTTTAGTTAAAAAATGTAAGCAGTGTTGCCAGGACCTTAGATACTTTTTTTTAGGTCTTTGAAGTTAAAATGGAATGCAAAGTTGAGCAATACCTTGTGGTAAATTATATATGAAGACACATGGTAGTTTTCAGTTATTTGTGTGCTGAGGGATAGATTAAAGTCTTGATGGAAATGACATAGCCCTCACTTTGGGGCAGTGGAATGAAAATAAGGATTCATATGATTAGCTGATGTATTTTATTTATTAAAAAACATTGCTTTTTGTCATCTATGGATTGTTTTTTAATTCTTCATTGGAGGATTTACAGATAAGTTATTGTCCAGTTGGGAGCTCAGCAGGACCAGATAATGAAATACAAGTCTTGCTTCTCCTAATGAAACCCTGTCTGCCCCAGGGGGGAGGGATTCATTCATCATATGTAACCTTATACCTGTAAACCATGGCGGTCCCTCCTAAAATCCAGATATTGTACTGAGATACCAGGTTTCTGAAGCTCTGGGAAACCCATTAAGCAGAAATGAGGCAGTGAAGCCAAATTATGGGAAGTGAAAAAACACACACACACACAAACACAAGGACAGAGGAAGAAGTAAAGACACATGCAGGAAGCCAAATTAGACACAACCGAGCCGGACAGGAACCGCATGCTATGGTGATATCAATGCAATGTCTGTCACTTGTTCTGTACTTGTGTTTACATCTGTGTTTGTTTATTTATATTGTCTCCCCCTGGGCCAACACACACACACACACACACACACCTTCCTGCATGGCTACTGTTTACTCCATTAAAGTGTGTTTTACTTGTAAAGATCAAACGTGTTTCTCAGTGTCTTTGTTCCTACACCTTGAACTCCTATTGTTGCTGCTAAGGTCTGTCCTAATGACTCCAAAACACACATGCACACAAACAAAAGGAGCTGTCAGCATGGGTCTGTGGACCGTTGGTCTACATCTGACCTGACCTTAGGTCACAAAAAGTTCACGGCTTTAAGTCAGAAACACTGAACTGTCCCTTTAGGCAAAACATAGACAACATTGTCAAATTAACTAAAAAGTGTAGGAACAGATTTAGGCCATGTCAGGGCTTTGACCCTGTTTCCACGCTTCTGCATGTAGGACAGTAGTTGATAAATAGTTTCCAGCTGCAGTGGTTTGGCTGAACTCTGTGAACTCCCTCAGTAAGACCCCTGCCCATTGGTCAGAATCAGACCTCTTCATTTGAACTGCACTTGTGTTTCTTCTGCCTGCACCGTGAAGAGAGACAGGAGTTTTGTGTTAGTGTGTTTTACCTGCATCATTTAAAGGTACACACTGAGCGACAGTTAGCAACTCCTCTCACCTCTGTTCAAAGCTCGTCATACGGCACATGATGAAGAGTACAGAGTATAACATGGTACGGCTACTGCTCCTGCCTAATTAGCATTTCAGGGGCTAACAGCAAATAAATAATATAAATTATATACTGTACATAAATGAACACGCAATACTGTGCAGGGTCTGTTCTGTAGCTCTGACATAATGACACAGTGCAGTGACCATGTCCTGCTGTGGGGCACCTGTGACGACCTTTCACACTGTAACCCTCCTTCTAGTTGGCAGTTTGTTCTAACACATGACACCGACCGACTCTTAGCAGGGAAAGATCCAAATTTAGACGATGCACACACAGAGGTACAGACAGAGCCCTGGCCCTGGCTAGTCTGAACACAAAGTTTCCTCTCGACCAGCCAGACCAAACACACACAGAGGACACTGGCGAGAGTTCTGTGCCCAATGGAAGGAATTGACCATGTGACACACTTCAGAACATGAATATAATACTCACTATTTGATGCAACATTGATACCAACTACTAATCATGTCCCAAAGCAATATTTCACAGAATAAATTAACCAATTTTGGGCCCCCATCAGTCAGGGGCCCAAACTGTTTTACCTCCGCCCCCCGTCTTTTACAATGTCCACAGGCTATAATTAACCTCCTGGTTCATGTAAAACTAATAGCGACGGATAATGTGCTCACAAGTTTGAATCCACTGGTGTGCGTCACTGCTCAGCTCTCACACCTTGTTGTTTTTCCAACAATCACGCTTCGTAAATACCTCTGAATTTATGATGCCAAACACTTCACACTGCTACACAAGTGAATCTGCTCAGTACAACATACTGTATACTACAAACGAGTATTACTGCCACATTGAGGATAAAATAAAAAAAAGTACAATTACCACAATAAAGACTTGTTCACCAGAAAAAATTGTAACATTTAAATAAGTCATAAGTTTGAGAATGAAGTTATAATCACCATAATGTCGTTACATTACCTACACCATGTTCTGGTAAATTTGGGTGGAAGAAAATGGGAGGAAACTGGAGTACCTGGAGAAAATCTAACCCTCCCAAAATGGAGTGTAAATACTGCCTAAAGCAGTCACACCAAGGGCAGGTAGACTGGTTAGGTTTGTGGAAGACTTACCTCCTCTCATCTAAGAGGTTGAAAAAGCCTTTTGGATGAGAGGGAGGAAAGTCTTGAACTGTAACTGGTTCCGATAAGATGACAGAACGTGCACAGACAAAAATAAAATGGCATTTTTGAACAGGGTTTGAACCTGGAGTTTTTCACCACCTCAGTGAAAAACATGAGCTCCATTCATTCACCAGTGTGGACTTTTTATTTATCAGGTTGTAAGTTGAGTTACAACAAAGCTTTGAACATTGTTTTATGTTTACCATAGGTCTTTGTACAGAACACATTTTTTCTACAAAAGGAAAAAAAAGCAAAAAAAAAGAAAAAACTGTGGACAAATATAATCAGAATCCAATGGAGTTTGATGTGTTTGTCACAGTAGAATGACGGACAGTAGTGGCTCATGCTCGTCATGGTTACTGGTTGAGATGATGTTGAGGAATCTGTGGTGAAGAGCTTCAGACGGTGAGTGGCTGGTCCCATGTCGGGTTTTACTGAACTTTTTCATAGCGACGTATGCAAACAACCTCTCCAACTTTGAGTGTCTGTTAAAATCAGAGGAAAGAATTAGTACTTGTGCCAACAGACACGCGTGAACAGATGACCACGGTGGGTACTCACGAGTGTGAGGGCATTGTCGCTGACTTCTCTGACCAGCGAGGTCTCTTTGCCGTCCCACTTCTGTACATGCACCATCTTGCCGTCCTCTATTGATACAACAGACTGTTGGACGGAGGGACAAACAGGAGTTGGTTAAAGCAGCGGCAAAATCAGTAAGGTGTTATATCCATCAAAGAAAGAACAGTAGACAGGTGGACAAATCATGTCGTAAGGTGGACCATGTAGTCCCACCATAACACTGAACCCATCTGTCACCCCGACTGCACTTCTGAACAGTTACATTCTAATTTATGAGCCTTCAGTGTTTGTTGGCCAGAAAGTCATCCATGTACATTAATCAAGACAAAATATTGGAATACGATATCTGACATAATACTCATAACCAATATCTTGATGTGAATTCAACAACTGATATTTTGCAACATCGCATTAAACCTTACACCTAGTATACGTATCCACACACATGTTAGTACTGAAGGTAAATTCAACACTATCTCTTTTACCAGAGTGGGTATATAAGTTACATTCATTTGATCAGTGGCTAAATCGAAACACTGTTTGTGTTCATAACGATGTAACAGGAAGCTCTCACCTTGACCTTCCTGCCATCTGCTGTGGTCTCGTCAAACTCCTCTCCAATCTTATAGGAGATCTCTGTGTTCTTAATGGCGCTCTGGGTCTTCAGCGTCACAACGCCCCCATCCACTGAGATGATGGTGGTGGGTTTGGTCATGTTGCCTAACTTACGTGTAGGAAAGCCAACACCTGTGAACGACAAAACAAGGAAAAAAAGAGAAGAGCTGTGATTTATATTCTGGAAAAAATATGTGGCACTAAATCATGTGTGAATATTCTACGGAGACATAATAATAATAACCTGAGCGGTGAGAAAAAAAAATGGTGGCGTCGGCCTCTGGTTGTCTTCAAAGTGACAGGCTCTAATCTGCACTTGTCTTCAGTCAAAACTGTGTGACACTAAACAGGAGCAGTGACCTGGCAGCTTGTACTGACAACATCGTTCATGTGCATTGTATTTAACTTTTTGGAAGACAAATACACTTCGTTCGGTTGTTTTGCTCAGTTCTACAGGGTTTGCCGTTGGTGGTAAAAAAAAAAGATGCAGAAAATCAGGTTTCCACAGTTCTCTGTCACAGTGTGATTTAGTCTCTGAGCGTGTGAAAGAGATCCCATGCCAGTTGGCTTGAAAACACAGACGACTTACAGTTTGTGCGTACACAACAACAAAAATGTAGCTTTTTTTTGGGGTGGTGGAGGAGGGACTAATGTTCTTTTATTTATATTTGTCTGATTTTTAGTCAGGACTTGACCAAACCTGCTCTGATGTTTGTATTTGCACTGACACTTCCTACCCCACCCTCCAGACACCCAGCCAGACAGCCTGTTTGGGGCTTTTATTTCTACACTCTGCCCCCATTAGTACCTTGGTGGTGGGACCATGTTAATATTCAGCTCCTCCCCTGACCTCAGACAATGACCAGCTTTCAGAGAAGGTCACCCACTGAGTGCTGAAGAATGCCTTTGTGTGAACACAAACCCATTCTTCAGGATTATGGGGACACACTTTAAATCTGTGACAGTTAAAGCATTTCCTCAGAAACAAGTTGTGATGGTCGGGGATCAGAGCTTGGAGAATGACCTGCAAGAGTAAACACTGTGTGTGTGTGTGTGTGTGTCAGCTACTTGCCATTCACATTTTCTCACAGAGGCTTGATTTTCTTTTCCACTCCCTCTCTCTCTCTCTCTCTCTCTCTCTCTCCTCCCTCCCTCCTTCATTTCTAGCACTTAGGCCATGTGGTAAACCACTTCTCCTCCTCCTGCTGCCTCTGTCTCTCTTTTATTGATGTCATTTGTATTCTTTTACGTCTCATTTCTTTCATTCTCAATCTCGACTCCTCACGTGTTCACTTCTTTTTGTCTCCTTTCACTTTGATCTGCATTTTGACAGCAAGACCAGGTTGCGCCACAAACAGACAAACGCACGTACTCACATGCAGCACTGGCAGCGTTGCATCCTCTCTTGTTACACGCATGCGCACACACGGCCAGTCTCCAGCTCAAACACACGGAAGCGCATTGGTCCACTTACCCAGCTCCTTCATGTATTCGTCAAAGTTTTCGGTCTCCTTCATGTTCCATGTTCCAACGAAAGCTTCAACCATGGCTGCGGCGGTGGTAGAGAGACGCAGAAGAGGCGCAGAAGAGAGGGAGAGAGAGCGAGACAGAGGAGGAGAAGACCCGCAGCTAAGAGAGGGAGCGACAGAGTGAGAACGGAGGGAGACGACAGAGCGGGGGTATTCAGCAGCGCACTACCGCACTGCGCTCCTACTGGCTGGATCACAACGGCTGTTCATGACGTCACCAGTCTGTGCACAGACAGAGTGAGAGCAGGGGTGGGGGGTGAAAGAGAGGCTGAGCTCTGCAAGTCACAATGTATGCTGCATCCATGTGAAAGAAAATATAATCATTAATCTACCTTTAAAATTGTTCAACCCATTCATCTTAAACATTGGTCTCCACTACTGATTGTTGATAAAAATGTATACTTACTATTATTAGAGGTTCACACTTTACAGTCTTACCTTTTTGTTTTCAAAATTGTAGCAGCTTTTTTGCTATTTTTTTTAACATATTGTTGCTAAAGTTAGTTTAGTGCATGAAAAGAAAAAGAGTCAAGGTCTTTGAAAAGGGAGAGGAAGTATACATCTTTCAAAATAAAATACCACGTAGATGTAAATTTAGACAATTCTGAAAAAAAAAAACCTTGTTTTTTTTTTGTCTGCAGCCCAGTACTGGTCCCTGACCCAGAGGACGGGGGTCCCTGCTTTAGATAATACACTGTAATTAAAAATAGACGTAACATGAGGTTGTGGAACCTTGAGAGTCACAAAATGAAGACACATTGTCTTCCATGTTTAGATGAGGGTCTGCTCCTCTGCATCTTCAAACACACGGGGACCACAACACAGAAAAACAGCTGGTCGTTCAATTTGAATTTGAAAGTCTTAGTCTTAGATAGAGGCAGGGAGAGGCCCACCTTACAAAGAATAAAAGGAGCAAAAAGAGGAGGAAGTGGGGGGGGGGGGGGGGCAAACCCGTCTCTGAAAGTCAGTTAAAGAGAAGGACAACACCCAGATGTAGCCTGGGTGGAGGAGGGGGACGTGATTGATTTTTCTTTAGCACTGTTGGGCCGGGGGTTGAAGGTTCATCTTGCCTCACTGAACTGATTTGGTTTTACACTCTCTTTGCACTTGTTTGGTTTTTACTGACCCCCACTCCGGGCACAGCACAGTGTGTGTTGCTGTGATCACGTTGTGCACACAGTCGTAAAGCACATTATCACAGTGGCAACCGATGGCAGAGCTGTTGTTGTCGTGAGGGTGATTGGAGTGGAGGAGACCTGCTGACTGACTGCAGCACATGGCTGCTCATGTTATAGAGTGAAACACTGCATCAACTTATAGTCCTTACTGAGAATCACACAGACGGTCTATTCTTACTTAACGGCCTATTTTTTTAAACACACTTATATTGTTATTTTCTTCTTTTTTGAATATTGCGTGTCACATGAATGACTATTTGCTCTGGGGAAATTTGACTCTTATTAAACATTAGGTCTTCTACCAATTACATGTGTCTGTATTTTGTCTTTTTTACGATGAATAAATCGTATTAATTTCTAAATAAAAATTAATTACTGGCAGAAGGCAGCCTGCTTTTTCCAGGATCTTATTTTTTAAACATTACAAACAAAAACAGTGAATAAATACATTCCTGTGTCAAATCTGAGATTTTCCTAAAAATGTTATAAAAGAAGTCAGTATGCTAACGTACTGAAGAATTTTAAAGGCCTGACTCTGTTAAAACCATTAACCTTTGACCTTAAGTGTCATGAACATTTGTATGATTTATGATTAAGGCAATGGGAGAGCGCCATGTTGGGTTAAAGGTGGAGGGAGAGTAGAATATTTGGGGCCGATCAGAACAGTTTTCCATTTAAAAATAGATATCAGTGACATGCATTCTCTGTGGGTTAAACCTTCTCAGGGTCGTGACCCTGGTGGACAGGACTACAAAAGAGCAAATTGGTGGGTCAGGTAATGATGATCAAAGTCAAACTAAGTCAAACTAAGAAATCCAGACGGCTTTGACAGACGCTGAGGATAAATACAGGATATAACTGGACACAGGATGTTGGGAATGGAAATGTCGAGAAGACCGAGGAAGATTTATGGACTTGGTGAAGGAGGCTATGAAGAAGGTAGGAGGTAGAGTAGAAGAAGGCAAGGATAAGAGAAAAATGGAACTAAAAAAAAAAAAAAAAAAAAAAATCAGCTGGCATCAAACTGGATGGAGCAGCTAAAATTAAAGGGCAACTTTGGACTTTTGGCCCTGTTCCTTTGTGCTGCTTTTTATTTATTTATGTCACTCCATTTGTTCTACTTCCTGTTATTTTGTTGCTGCAAACATGTAATCAAATCAAATCTGTGTATGTACAAGCTGGAATAACCACATCACACGCTGGAAACCGTTGCTCAAAAACCTCAGGGTTGACCTTACACATTAAGTCAAGATGATTGGAGATATCACGACACCAAAACCTGTCCTTACATGTTCACAAACTAAATGCAGACATATTTTCCCCGAAGACTGATGTGCGACTGCACACACACCTAGAATCACACCCACACACATAAATGCAGAACGACATCGGTTAATAAGAACAGATGTGTGTTCTCCGGCTGAGGGTGATGACACCCCTGTCTGCAGATAATCACATGATCGCTGGAAGTTGTGGAATAACTCACAAAGCACAGATTAGGAGGAAAAAAAGAGTCAATATTTAAAAGCTGTCAGGCTGCATCACATCACACTGCTCCCCCACCCTGTCCCACTGCCCCTGTCCTCCAGTGACCCACCTACCCCTCCCCTCTAAGTGTGTCTAAACCTGAACATGCGTGCGCATGTTTGGAATGAATGCATGGCAGTCAATGGTGGCGATGATAGTTGACATAAACAGGTGTGAGGGACACACATGCTGAACCAGTCATGGAGGGGGACAGAAGGTGAGAGGTCAAAGTCACGGAGCTTCAATTTAAAATGTGTTCACAGCTCCTCGGTTCGTCCCAGAGACACGTGTGGGAGGATCTGGGATCTCACCCAACACTGTGATATAGTGTTGTGGTCTTGGACTAAGGGCTGACTTTTCTCCCTGTAGTTCTGAGCAGGAAAGTCCCTGCATGTGCACTTTCTAATCACTGTCTGTCTCTCATCAATAAGTCCTATAAACATGTTTGTCTTCATTTTGAGTCTGAGGAGTAAGAGATCAAAAAGAGTCATGTTGTCAGAATACTAAGACAAACCACTACTCTCCACTTTTTTCGTCTCGCTCAGATTATATTTATCTCACTGTAGAATCAATTGATTTCAACTTTGAACTGTGTACACAGCAGAATCAATGTTTCAGGCCAGACTCACCACATGTGATTCAGCTGCTGTACCGTTCAGGCAAATGCTGCACAACCTGTGTTTGGCCTTAACAAACAGCACTGCAGTCAAGTGAGCTACTATTAATGTATGTGCTTGTTGGCTGATCAAATATACACACTGTTGACACAGGGAGTCACAGATGGCTTCTGTAGAGTAGAGGCTGGTATGAGTGCTCAGCTAAGGAGAAGTCCAGGAGCGTGGTAGCATTAGCAGCTTTCCTAACCTCCCTGAACACCAACCCTCAACACACATGTTTAGGTTTGTTACCGACACTCCCTTCAGGAGCACACCCTCATGCATCTACACTCCCTTTCTCTCTCTCTCTCTCTCTCTGTGCATGCCAGGCTGTATTAACTGTCCATATTCTCACACCCTGTTTTATTTGTGTCTTCAAACCCAGTTCATTTCACATAAGTCAGTTTATGGCTCTAACAGGTCAACCTATAAACAGCTAAAAACAGTATAAAATATATAACATTAATTAAATGCGTGTAATTTGTAGGTAATTTGCACTTATTTGGTTAAAAGGGCAACTGGTGAAGCTATGTTGACCAACCTGTTCAAACCAATGCCCACTGTGTACTCAGATACAAAGATGTAGCACCCGCTACTCTCTGTTTGCTGCTGGACACAGACTTCCTAGGCTGCAAAACATCTCAAACAATATACTGTACAATGTGCGTTTTGAACACAAACTGTGTATAAATAATTGATAGAGTCATCTACACAGCTTGGTAAACATCTGGACTGTTGCTGGTTTTAGAAAATGTTTCCCTGATATTCCACACATTCCTAGTTTCAGATCATCTTTAGTAAAACATTAGCATGTTTTTTTTCAATACCAATCATATTTAGAGAACTATGAACTATAAATAGTCATTGGAGGAGCCAGCTCCAATGGCAGTTCATAATGAGTAATCAACTGTTGGACAGAGTAGCAAGGTAAATTCCACCAATCTGGTTGGATTGTAAAAACACCATTTCAGGACACTTGTGCAACCACAGCCTGTGACTGAGACAGAGCTGTCCATTTTCTGAATAAGCTCTATGATTTCTAACAACTTGTGGATGAAACTCAAACTCAACAGCCAGCTAATTTTATCCACTTCCAGCTGTTGCTGTTGAAGAAATGCTAATTGTGGCTGCAGCACCAACAGCATTCATGGAGCGAAAACAACTACGACGTTGTGTGCCTATGTGGTTTGTATTAACTCAGCAGATGGAATTCACATTGCATTCCAAGGTGTAATAAAACTACTGGAGCCGAGAGAACTGGCAACAAGAAGAAGATGGGGAAAACACAGATGGATGGAAAGATTCCAAGACACAGAATCAACCCAGTTGGTCAGATTTATGTCCCCCATGTCTATAAGTGAGACGAGGCGAAAACAGGTGGGATATACCGTAAAATGCCTCTAGAGAATATTGGTACTTTATGTATATATATATATAACAGGACATTTTGACATCGTGGGTATTATCATATTTGTAAATGTTTTAACTGTAACTATATTCTCAGTATTTTAGGCGAGGTGTTAGCTACTTCTAGGCTAATTTTTCACAAACCAATATTTAGCTATTTGTTTCTAGCCATATTTATTAAAATAAATGTATTTATATATTTGGGGCCCCTTTTATGCAATTACCTCTGGCTTACTTTCAGCCAACACTTGTCTATCGTTTGGCAAATGTTTAAATCAGTTAAACACATTAACAATGTCCAGAGTTCTCATTTTCCTCACACATTATTCATACTTAGATTACACAGACGTATGATACTCATTATGAAAAAACAATTTAAATGATTAAAGTTAAACTTAAAATTACTTATGTCAGGTAGAGTGTTAGTTTATGTAGGTAACACAAATTTGCCATAACCATAAAACGGTGTTCAAACACCACATTGCTGAACGAACAGTTAATATGAACACTTACCCCCTCTGCTGGTACGATACTGTTACTGTGTTAAGGATGGGCCCGAATCGTGGCATTTAATTGTAGCTCCCGACTGATTCAACAGGTGCAAACATTTCTGCAAACACACACAAAATAATAATAATAATAATTAATATTTTTAGCTTTCTCGTGTTTCAACACTGCTGTTGTGGCCGAACTTTTCGGCTCAGGCGCCAGGGTGACTAATAAAAGTTGAAAGACCAGTAACAGAGGGACGGAGGGTGTCTATGTGAACGAACATTCCACGATATATATATATATATATAGCTTTAAATTCTTTGAACGCCAGCAAAAGCAACTCCGAACACAATAAACCAGCAAGAAAATACACAGCATCTGGAGTCACCGCAGTGTTGGTCCCTAAACTATTTCACAGTCAAAGGCCATTTAAATACAGCGTAAAACAAATTTAATTCATGCCTGTTTATTGCTACGAAGCTTATCTATATGTGACTTCCTTATGAATATACATTTAAATACTATTAACATACTTAATACATACCCACGACACCATTATGGGTAAACGAGACAAACAACGAGCTGTAACTTATTCAACTGTAATGGATTCCCTCAATTTGAAGGTTTCACTTCCGGGTCGCGTAAATGACGTTTCCAGGTATAAATGATCACAATGCAAAAAGTAAGGCTAATGACTAATTCTCAAAACAAATTGGAGTTAGGGGAAAGCAACTTGTTAAAGCGTCTCCCATTTAACCTTATTGTTTCTATTGCGTTAAATATAAATTTGTTTGTAACAGAACAATATGAATTAAACATTAAAATGAAACGTATTTTCAAAATAATTCGGTATTGCTGTCCAGGCTTTTACAACAGCAAAGGTGATGTAGATGGATAGTGTATGAAGCGCGCCATCTAGTGGAATAAATTATTATGTCGGGTAATACATGATAGGCGATTAATGCGGTCTCTTAATCTATACCTATAATTTGGATAATTAATCTCACAGTATTTTACATTACATGACATTAAATAAAAACGATATTTTGTAAACAGGTGAACAGGTTTAGGAGGTGACCAACAGGATGAATCCAACGCAAGATATTGCATGTTATTGTTGGTTTCATCTCCTTCATCCTACATTTTCCATCTTATTATGTAGGAACACGTGTTAGACTTTAACTCTCATTGACGAACAATAGTATTCAGTTTGTTTACTGTGAGCTAATGTAAAAACACTGGCATCTAATATGGCCTCCTCTGCAGAAAATACCTACTTCTGTACTGGGTAAATGAAAACAATAATTCATAAAGCGCAGGTCAATAAAAGCACCAGTAAAATAATTTAATATTCCATTTGTTTCCAATAAATAAGCGCGTACTATAATTTCACCAAAATCGTACCCTGAGGACATCTGAAAAGGCAAATGTGGGGCATAATGATAACATGTTTGTAGATGAACAGCTGTCGGTACGTCTCAGCGGTGAGTCCCGGATATGGAGCTGTTACTTCCTGATCCAATATTAACTGTGTCCTTGGAGACAAAACCATAGGGGGCAGTGCATTAAAAGATCAACTGGACACTTTGTGTTTGTGTGTGTGTGTCTCACACACAGTGTGTGTTGGATTCCGTCAGTGAAACTATGGTAACGGCCTCTGAGACTGGCGGCTTTCCCTCCTCCTGCTGTCAGTGTGATTTTTCACCATAACTTTCTTCTACTCATTGTGGTACAAAAGGTTTTGTTTGAGCCTCCAGGGTTTTTTTCTCCTTCTTCTTCTTCTTCCTCCTTCGCTGTCAGAGAAAGTTTTAACAAGGGCAGCGGCAACAGCTACAACTGAGAGCACAGAGCACATCCCTCTGCTGTTCCTGAGAATTTATTAGTTTAAACAACTTGACTCCAGAGTTAACTTTCGTCTTTATTTCACCACAGTATGTTTATTTTGGGCTGGGTTAGAGGTCGCGTTCTGCAAACACAAAACCATTTAAGCCACAAGAAATGAAGATTTATTTTGTATATATTAACATTATTTTATTCCTGAATCATGAATAAGCCATGTACAAAAAATAAGAAATTGAAAAAGAATAGTAAATCAGTGTGACATTTAAGGTTTGGTTTACTTTCGACTTAATAAAAACATAGAAAAAGTATTGTGTGAATATTGAATTTCATTGAGCATACAGGCTAGATGTTAGAAATTACCACACAGACGAACACCGGTTCCTGTCCTGGCTCGGTCGATGGCCTTTCTGTGTGGAGTTTGCATGTTCTACTAGTTTTTTACGGCTGCTCTGGTTTCCTCCCACACTCTGAAAACACGCAGATGGAGGATTAGATTTACTGGAGACAGTAAATAGCAGTAAATGTACATGTGAATGGTTGTTTGCCTTTTTGTGGTCTTTGTGGTTTGATCATTTCTTCCGTCCCCTTTACCTTACACCTAATGTCAGTTGGAATGAGCTCCAGCTCCACTGTTACCTGGTAAAACCACATAAAACAAAATGGTACATTCCATACACATCACCATACAAGTAGACTGGGGATCGTGAACAAGTTTGGCAGATAATGAAAACATAAATCGAAACCGGTAAAAACGACCAGATTGTCCTCTTATTTTGAAAATATGGTAATTCCGCATCCGGTCTTTGCTTTCCTCAGTCAACTTGACCTGTATCCATGGCGACCGTGAAGCCACAGCAGATCCGGCCATCCCGTTAGTTTTCTGAGAATGAGACAGAGAATGTTAGAATATGAAAATGAGTGGATGTGACAGGCAGCGACCGGAGGAAGAATAAAGAAGAGACTCAGAGAGTGGACTTCCTGTGGACAACCGTGGACTTTTTTACATTTTCAATTTATTTTCTTTTGTAAATAAAGGATGACGCCTGCACAGAAAGGCCGGTATGGATGTGAGGCAGCGGCTCACAGTAAATGGAGAATGACAGGTGAGTGGGCGGATTATTTCACAAAGCAAAAGGTCGTGGTTGTTGTTGTTGTTTTTAAAATTAATAGAATAATTTCCAAGACTTTACACAAATTATCAAATTGATCTTAATCGATACCGTGAAAACACAACAAAGGAAACAAGGTCAGTTTTTGTTTTGTTTTAGCTGGAATTGTAGGTTTAAATCATAAAAATATTCTTTTCAGACAGTAAATATAATTAAAATAATAGTTTACAGAAAGTGGTTTTCATTAGGGTTTCTGTTGAACATTTTCCCCGTTAGATTTAAACTGTATTTCACCTACATTTCTATAATACTTTGTTAATGTGACGCCAATTATGTTGGATTGCTGTTTCCTGTGCTTCCATATAGTAAAGCTATTTTTAAAAAGCCCAAGAGAGCCAATTAGTTTGCAAGCTGCAAATTAATTGGCTCTCAAACGCTGACAAACTGTTTTACAGAAGAATTAGCTGATGGTAAACAACAACAGTGAGTCAGAATTAACAGTGAGCACAATTTCTTCATTTATATTAAAAACCTTTTAGCATTAGCATTTTAACAGATTGTTTTGTATTTATTTGGGAAAAAATGACTTAAGTGCTTCTAGTGGGTATAAAATATCTTTTCTCAATACTGAAGAAAAAAGTTCAAACTAAATTTAAAAAAAAGCTGCAAAACCTTGAAACCAAGGACTGGTTTCATTGTGGAAATTCAAAGTCCTGGACGTGGAAACATCTCGCTGCTTTATTAAACACCATTTCCATTTGGTCATTTTGAATGTTTGTAATTGTCCTCTCTGTCTTTATGTGATTTACTGAAGCCTCTCTGGTCACGACTCTCTCGTTAAAAACATTTTAGTGAGTTCTTTTTTTTTTTTTAAACTAAAGGTTTAAAAAAACCCAAAGAAACTTCTTTCTGTCCTTGAGCTCTGACAGAGCCAGCTGTGGCCAATCATAAGAGGCGGTTACACAACTGGGTTTTTGTTCTGTGTACTCAGACCTTCTTGTGTGTGTTTGTCACTCTTAGTGGGGGTGTGTGAGTGATGGGGGCAGTGGTCAGTAATAATGGAGGAAGAGGATCTTGTGTTTCTGTCTGATTGGACAGATAACATCTTTTTACTCTTTGTGCCAGAAAGTGAAACGTCAAAGATGTTCTGTGTCTCTAAAGCTTCATCAATCATGCAGATTCAGCTGAGCCCTAACCAGGTCAAGAAACCTTTTGTTTATATGTATATATGTATGTGTGTGTGTGTGTGTTCTTAATGACTTAAGGAAGCCTAAATTATTCAGCCAGTGGGCCAGGGTGCCTGAGGAATCTCAAATGGCCCCTGCACTCTGTGTGATGGAAAACACTCAAATCTGATCAGCCGGATTTGTTTTCACACGCACGCTCACACACGCACGCTCACACACGCATGCTCACACCCCGCACAAGGAACTGGTGTTCTGTTACTTATGCTCACACACGCACGCTCACACACACATGCTCACACACGCATGCTCACAACCTGCACAAGGAACTGGTGTTCTGTTACTTATGAGTTTTACTTTGTGTACGTGTGCACGTGAAACCAAGCCGTGGCCGATGACCGCAGCGTCACTTTCAATTGTCCAGACCTCACTTTTTCTCCTGCTTTTGTCCTCCTCCGTCTCCTGCTTCAGCTCCTCCTAACAACCCACTGATGAAGCGTCCCGGTGGGTTACACCAGCCGTGGCCTATTCACACCCACCCAAGCCGACAGATCCACAGGTCCCACCTTCCTCCTCCACCTCCTCCTGCTCCTCCTCCTCCTCTGCCTTCCTATCACCTGCCTTTCTTTCACACACGACACGCGGAGGAGAGCGCAGAGCGGCCCCATCTGGTCACCGTCGTCCGGCCCTGTGGTCTGAATTCACTGAGGAAGGTGAAAATGATCCAACATGACTTGACTCCTGTCTGATTTATTTATACAGATCAAGTAGATTGGCTCCACAGGTGATTACTGTCAGAAAAGTTTGAAGATTTTTTCAAATATCATAATTATATTCATAACACTCAACCATAACACTTTCTGATAAATGTTGTCTAATAATAGACAACGCCCCTTGTGGAGGTTCTAAGTATTGCACTGACAGATGGGACACAGAGGTGCATCTTTGATCCTCGTTCATGTAAGGTTCCTGGTTTGAAAACAGATTCATATCTAACGTCTCACTTTTCTCGTCCTTTCAGGTTACCGTGTTGTTGAACCGCAGGGGTGTGGTCTCCTTCGAGCAGCTGCTGTTGGATATTTCAGAGGCTTTGGGGTTTCCTCGCTGGCACAGAGCGCGGGTCACACGCCTTTTCACCACCCATGCACGAGAGGTTAGGCTCAATGTTTCTCCCTGAGAAAGATCAAGTACAATTTTGATCATTTGAAAGACAGCAGTTTAAAAAAGACAAAGTGGACGTACGCGTGGATGTTGCTGCTCCATCACTGCTGATCAGTGTGAACTCAATCTACGACACTCACACTTTACTCTTGTTATTTGAATAGATGGGAAAATAATCACCACAGGACACACCTTCAAACACACACACACACATTATAAGTGATGTTTCCCACCTGCTCTCATGCAAAGGTGCACTGCTGGGGCATCTGAGTCACACTTTCCACATTTGTTGCCAACAGAGAGACAATAAACATTTTCTGCTTCATTCAAGCTTAAAGACTGCACCAATTATAATACACACACTGGATCTAGATGAAAAGGAAAAAAAACCTCTGTCAGAGCCTGCAACTAGACCCCTGTCACATGATCCAGCTGTCAATCACAGGTGTCAGCTGATACGCATCAACACATGCCAAGGCTTTTCATCTATTTCCTTCAGAATAGATTCATTGTGAACGCAAACGTGCAATCACGACCTGATGAGGAACACGGAGAACTAGCTGCTAACGCCCACAACGACACACTCGTTTCTCTTTATCCCATTGTAATGTCCATGTTTTTAGCACAGGGTGATGAAGTGTTCGTGGGGTCCTTCGGTAGGTTGGTGCCCTAGTCAGACGCCTGTCTTTGCCTAAGGTCTGCCACCCCCACCCCCAGAGCATTCATTAAATGGTGGGGTGGTAAAGCATGGACTGTTACAGTTGATGACATTTAAGTCAAACTGACCCTCACAAACCTCTGCTGTCAAAGTGACACAGAAAGTCTGAAGACGCTTCGTCTTTAATGTCTACGGTTGTTGAAGTGCTCGACCCAAAGACCCTCCCTAATGACAGGGTCTGGAGGTGATCAAATAAATCAGGACACACCTTTAAGACCTGGATGATTAAGGGAGGTTCATGTTGTTAGCTTCAGTGTCCTCCTCCCCCCGAGGCCTGCAGGTCACTGAAGCTGTGGTGCCATCATAACATGTTCCTACTTTGTCCAGCAGGTGATTCAGTCATGAGTGCAGTGAGGCTAACACGCTGACATTAATCCATCCACAGGGACAGAAAAAAGTGAAGTCCAAGTACAGCACAGGAAGATGAAGAGGGGAGATATGTGAACGCAGCGAAGAGTCGGATGATTGATTACGATCAATAATGCTGCAAAGGTCTTTGGTGGCTTTACTTAAAATCAAATTATTTGTAGGTCAGCGCCGAGGTTGTTTTCTCCTTGGGGGACATTTTTGGACAATCGACAGGCAGATGATACTCCTGTGGTATCATAAATGTCAAATATACTGCAACTGCTGCAAGGTGACTCCAGGTCAACTCACAGAAATCATGTCAGGAGACTTATGAAATTCTAGGGTTGAGGTGTTATTGTGACTGTTTTATTTTCCCAGGTGAAGGGTATTTGTGACTTCTTCCGTGGCGAGGTGGCCTATCTGGCTCTGGGAAAAGCTCGGCCTGAACTGAGCAGTGTTCAGGAGGCTCTGGAAGAACTTTATCCTGAACACTCCCACTATCGGGCTGCTGCGCTGCGCTCCTGGGAAAAAAGACTGACGTCAACGCCAGACAAAGCTGCCAAGGCTGACAGCGGGTACAGCGAGGGAGCGGACAGCAGCGACACCAACCAGGAGACAAAGTCACAGGTCAAAAGTCACACTAATACACACATATCTCACCACAAAGACCTGGATATTCAGAAGTCTCATAAAAAGAATTCTGGCAGAAAACCAGTCTGTCCTCCGAACCACCTACAGAGACTCAACGTGAGGGTCAAAGGGCATCAGCCTTCAGGAACCAGTCCCTTCAAACACAGAGAGGATTCCAGAGAATCCGAGATTCCCTCTCCTACGTTGTGTGAGAACTGTTTATCAATCATAACTCATCAGCATGTTCCAGACAGGATGGATCCGCTATCAGGAAGGGTTCCTCTTCCTCCCGTGTCCAGAAAACAGCGGGTTTGCACTTACACCGAAAAAGACCAGCTAAAGCAGGACGTTTCTCTCAGCCCTCAGCCCGTGTGCACCAAAGAGAAGAGTCCTTCCCAGTCCCAAGCTTCAAAACCACTGCCAGACGTGGGCTCAGCACACAAACAAAGGCAGGACAACACAGCACTCGGCCTGCCCTCAGATGGCAGTGATGTCACGCTGGCAGATATCCAGCGCTGCTATGAAATAGGCCGTGTGGTCGGAGACGGGAACTTTGCCGTGGTGCGAGAGTGCCGGCGGCGCGGCGATGGACAGAGCTTTGCACTAAAGGTAATCGAACGCTCAAAGCTGATTGGCCGTGAGCACATGATGCAGAATGAACTGAGCCTTCTGGGTAGCCTGCGTCACGGTCGTATTGTGCGACTGTTTGCGCACCACCACACGCACACTCATTCATACCTGGTGATGGAGCTGGTGAGCGGAGGAGATCTGTTTGAGGCCATCAGTGAGAGGGGGAAGTTTTCCGAGGCGGAGGCGGGACTGATGGTGTCCGACATGAGTGACGCACTGCACTACATCCACTCCAAGAGCATTGTCCACCGAGACCTCAAACCAGAAAACCTGTTGGTGGGTATCAGTGGAAAGAATGACCTCATATTTACAAAAAATATATATTACGCAACATATCAAAGACATGAATCATCACAATTAAACATACATGTCAAACTCCGACAGAAGGGATTCTGATCAGTATCACTGACAGTAACTGCTGTGTCTATATGTACATGCACAGTACAATGGTTATAATTACAATAGTTATAGTAATTCTTACTCCCTGTTATAAATAGGGATGTTCGATAATATCGGCTGACAAATGTCATCGGCCTCATATTAGCATAACTATATCTGTAAGAATCATTATTAGTTTTCCTAATGAAAACCTGATATGACAATGCCTGGGTTTCGCCAAATGATGTGTGGCCTAAAAATAGTTTTGGGGGAAAATGGCTGTATATGAAGGTGGAAGCCAGTAGATAGCAGAATTGCATCTTATTCTATTCATCCATTTTAATTATCACGGGATTGTATGCAGAATGCTTATGGAGCGGTACATCGGTATTGGTTGATATCGGAATCAGAAAATAAGTGTTTTGGCAATATCAACATCGGTTATCGACCTAGTTAATATGTGTTAAGTTAATAACTAGTTATAAACTGAATCCTTCCCTCTCAGATAGAACGTGTGGCGGGAAATATCTGCAGGCTAAAGCTAGGAGACTTTGGACTCGCCATGGTGGTGACTGAGCCTGTCTTCACCATTTGTGGGACGCCCACGTACGTGGCACCAGAGATTCTCTTTGAGACAGGTGAGCGGACCCCGTAGACATGAAAAACAGAAAAATACTACGTGTAGAATATAATAAACAATGACTGTTTTTTTTGTTATTGCACCAATAATTCATCCTCCTCCTTTAAAAGAACTTTTCATGACTGCTCTCACAGGTTATGGTGTAGCAGTGGACGTCTGGGCTCTAGGTGTTATTCTCTACATCCTGCTGTGTGGTTTCCCCCCATTTCGCAGTCGGGACCGGGACCAGGAAGAGTTGTTTCAGTTAATTAAAGAGGGGCAGCTTCACTTCCTGTCCCCCTACTGGGATCCCATCTCAGAGGGTGAGAAGAACAAAAACATTATATATGCTGCCAAGGTCAGAATTTTTTTTCAGGAGCTCCGGGCGCCATCCCTTTGAAATATCTAAAACTGCCCTTGGAATTTACATTGTAAACTTTTGCAAAGTCTGGGTGGAAAAAGTCTCATTGGAATCAGAACCACGTGCAGTACGCTTAATGTTTTTATGCTAAGTAGAGCATGTACTTTTCAAAGTGCCTGTGTTCATAGTTATGGTTCGTACACACTGGCCAATTAATCAGGTACAGCTGTTAAACCAAATGAAAACAACTACCTGGCAGCAGCTCAGATACATTCAGACGTGTAGACGATAAAAAGAAGATCTGACGTTTCAGCTGCTCTATTTTTATTTTCCCAAACAACCATCAATGACCAAAGGTGGTCTGGACAAAAATGTCATGTTGACACTAAAGGCCAGAGGAAAACGACCAGACGATATCAAGCTCATCGATCATGTCTGATAACTTGAAATGTCAAACCACTAAATGCCAGTCGAGCTAGCTAAGCTAACACCAGAAACTTTAGGTGACAATTTACCCTGGGCTCACCTAAACTGTCAATGTCAAAGGAGATGGTTGGAATAATAAAAAAGCACCGGTATATTTTCTACCTGTTATATTTGTACAATGTATATAAAGCAGAGTATTTGAACACATAAACACTGCATTAACCCCTGATTACTATTCTGTTCCTATGTCTGTGTGCAGAAGCCAAAGGCCTCGTCACAGCTCTGCTCCAGCCTGATCCCTCTGTCAGGCTGACAGCAGAGCAGACCATGCAGCATCTCTGGGTAAGGACTACATCTTCGCAGTGCTGGCAGGGGGCGCCGGCAGTGAAAACACAGAGGAATAGTGTAGCCAGCAGAGGGGAAACAGAAAGAGTGCAAAACTTGGCTGAGGCTAACGCAACGGAGACGAGGAGAGCCAGAAGACAAGGACACATCAGCAGCAAGGGAGGAGACAAAGACAAAAACCTCATCAGACCTGAGGACAGACTAAATGAGAGCAGGACACAGACAAAGGGAATTGAGGACAAACCCCTTCGGCCGCAATCAGTAGACACTGGTGCAGTTCACACCATATCTCCAAGCATCAGAGTGAACCCTGTGTCAGAGGACACACCCGTGCAACAGAAACCACACGTCACCTCATCAGACTCTAACTCACTCTGCAGCCCAGAAATACAGGTGCATGTGTGCCGTCAGACAGGCAGCACAATCAAACCACGAGTTGAACTCGCAGACCAACCTGAACCACAATATCAGATAAGAACGGAGACAAAACAAAACAGCCAGCAGCAGCAGCAGCCGCTGTCGCCTCAACAATCGGCACCTTCCAACAATTCAGCTGAAGACGCCACTTCAGGTGCCTCAACACAGCATCCATCCTCCAACCCAACACCTCCTTCACCTCGGTCCACACCAGCAGAACCATGATCAGCCAAATCTATCAGAAAACATCTCCTGTTACAGTGACTGTGTGATTACATCGAGGTCAGCGCTCGTTGTTCTGCACAGTAGCAGCCGATACTTGAGTGACTGCCTGATAACACCATGTGATCTCTAGGATTTGAATGGCTAAACAAGTCAAATATGTAAATTAGGTTGATCTGTTTATCCCTCAGTCACACCATGATTAATGGCTGCAATAGGAACTGAAGCAACAACAAGCAGAGCTCTGTGTTGACGTACATGTTGAAATAAGGGAAGTAGGCTTCAGCCACGCTGGATGTAAACATGTGTTTGGTTTAGTTACAAAACTGCTCGGACCTATTGTTTGTGATTTGGTCAACCGTCCATCCTCCCCCACCGACCGGGTTTAACCTTGAGAAATTGATATACTACGGTGTGTGTCATCGCTGCTCGTGGCTATTTTAGATTGCTACTATGACGACACTCATCCTTCCTCCTTTCATACTGTTGAATGCCATTTCCTAGAAGTGTGCCTTTTAGGTCGCTCGTCTAGCAACATTAGTGCATGTGATGTTAATAAGTGTACACATCATAACATTTTTATGAAAAACTCTGAGCTCTGAGCCTCAGTGTTGCATGTCATGTAATCATCTAGTGTTTCTTCAGGCCAACATTTCTGCTTCCTTAATATGAACCTAATCTAATATCTACTGTATATATATATTCTGTGTATACTAAAAAACTGTGTGTTATGATCCAGTGGTAATTAATGGGGACTGCCAAACATCCAGATTAAACAGCATGTGACCAAACTAGATGTGGGGGAGTGTGTGTGCATAGCTGAGGTTGGTAAAGCAGCCGTGTCACTCCTCACACACCAAATAAGGCACATCTGTCCATCCAGTGGGAGTGGTTGGTCCTGTTCCCCTCGATTGCAGACAGCTGAAACTCTGACATCCTGCCACACCTACCCCCCGTGCATTCTCGCAACCCCCAATCCTGAATGCATGGGCACCCCTCCCCACCCTGGGGGCTGATCTAGGGCATTGGAGGTAAGGGTTTAAAAATATTTTCGAACCAAAATAAGAAAAGGACAAAAAAGAAATTCTACAATCACACACTCAAACATCTCATACCAACACATTGCAATACCATACATATAGTGTTGCAAGTTAGGACACTGTGAGGTTTTTTTCTATGTAATTTCCCAAATGAGGAAACCCTGAGAATATTGTTTCACTTGACTTTTTCCTGCCATGACTAAATGTTTTTATCAGTCAAGGGGGGTTAAAATAGCTGGAAATACCAAACCAATTTAACATTGATACCTTAGACTATCTGTAGGACATGGATGTGGCAATGCCCTTCCAAGACATTGTTGCCTAGTTAAGGCCCTTTGTCCCTCCTTTCAATTAATCTTCATGGTATCAATTTGATCAAAAACACAAGATATCAATACAAATTAAAGCAGCATTTATTGCTTCTCTGAGATGTTACTCTGCATGTGCAAACTGCTAATGAAAAAAGGAACTGAGCATTCTGATGCCTCTGTTATACAATCATTTAACGTGGACACTAACCATAATAAAACACGTTTATGATCGCATTGTCCTCTCTTTTAGGGAGAAGGAATTACAATGTAATTACTTGCCATGTTGAGCTTTGTTTACAAAACGTTGACCTGGGTCAAAAACCAGCAGGACTGGTTGAGGTTTGGTTTTGGTTTTAGTGAACTTTACATCATTTTTCAGGTTTCCAAAATTGGCCATAGGGAAAAAAACCCCAGCCGTTGACAGTCCGTGCAGTCGGACATGTCCCTCTGAGCTTCACTAAGATTGGTTAACGTGTAATAACAGTTATAGTAAGTGTGTTATAAAAGATTTTCTATGGGATTGTGATGACTTTAGTGTTTTGGTCCACCTTTGATGTTTTCAACCCGCAGGTGCTCAATGCGCATGCGCACTCCCCAACTCTTTAAATACCCCAAGTCATCTGCCACAACAAAACACTCTGCTGTCAGCCAAGTCAGGGCAGCAACCAGGTAGCTGCTGCAACCGGCAAACGTTTACAGGCACAGGCCGAAACTTATTTTAGATACGGAACTAATATTTTAGTCACGGCTTTTAAAGTAATTACAAATTCTGATCCGGAGTAGAGGAGGCTGTGTAAGGTGAAGTCTGGGGAGACGGACAGGGGGAGAGAGGAAAAAAAAAACAAAGATGGCTGTGTAGCTAGAGAGAGACGAGTTCCACCAGAACGGTCTCAAACCTTGGATTTAAGCACCGACACGTCCCGTGAGCTCCGTGGACGGTGGGTCGGTCCCGGAGCAGGGACGTTCTAGGAGCAGCCGAGCTGGGCCGCGCCTGTAATCTGCTGTCACAGCGAATAACGGCGTCGAGAGAGAAACGACAGCTGAGGGACGAGTTGTTTTTGTTCTGCCTGAGCACAGAGAGAGACAGAGACACAGGGACAGCACATAGTCTGCTGGCCTCACTGTAAGTCGACTAAACTAGTCCACATCTAACCTGTCCGTTATTACATTTTAATTACACCGTCGTTGGCTTGTTACACATAGAAGTTTCTAGTGTAAATTGTAAGTTTAGCCTTCATTCCAGTGTGTCAGGGCGCTGCTGTAGCGTTAGCCCGGCTAATGTTAGCTTGCTGTCAGCTGACCGTTGGCCTGGCGGTTTAGACGTTTAAACCGAACTAAAACCTGCAGGTACTTCGACCTCAGCAGGTCTACACACACCGCGGGCATTTCTTGATATTTCGTAGCCATGTCTTCGCTGGAAGAGAGAGACGTGGGCGTTGCGGCCGCCCCTGGCTCCTCCTCGGGAGGCCTGGGGGTCGGAGCCGTGGGGGCAGCAGTGGAGGCTGTTGCCGGGGTCGCGGCCATGCAATCGGAGGACGTCGGGATTCGACGCGAAGGGCCCGAGCCTGACCAGGACCAACCACCCAAGAAGAGGGCGAGACTGCCCGAGGGCGAGTCAGGGAAGCTGGAGGAGAGACTGTACTCAGTGCTGTGCTGCACCGTGTGCCTAGATTTGCCCAAGGCGTCAGTGTATCAGGTAAACATGGTCTAAATCATGACACTCCCTGCTCCCCTTCAGCACCCTAAAATCCGCCCCAAAAAAACAAACAGCTCCACTGTATTCTAGAAGATGCCCCCATGTCCCAGCCCCCACTGTCCCCTGTGTCAACCTGTTGAATGCGTTCCCTTTATTTTTAGTGAAAGTTGATCCAACACAGGTTCAAGTGTCTTCTGTTTACTGAGCCTTGAAGCGGAGGTCGGACACACCCAGGCCTCCTGGTCAGCGCTGTGGGCTCAAGTACATAACATTATACTATGAATTACCCTCAAATGACCCCCAGCAAAAAGTCAACACTTTCAGGCCCCACTCCCAAATCACAAACATCCAAATCTGAATAAATTATGGAACTTAAATGGCGTAGCCCCCCTCCTGGTTACACCAGCCCTAGTGTCCTCAGCGACCTTAAAATACCGTCTTCAATGACAAGTAACATAGTTGTAGTTAATGTTTGTTTGCCGTGTTTAGCCATTAACAACTTATGGCCACCATGCCATGAATCTGACAGATGTCAAATATTTATACACCAATGATATCCTTTACACACACAATGGTCCTACAGTTTACAAACAACCAAGGAATCGCCCAGAGCCCAGTCCAACCCAAAGGTCATTCACTTGACATTTCTGGATCAACGTCTGCCATTCCTATTATTTTTCACCAGGCCACAATCACCCAAAATTATATATCCACATCTATTCTTTTTGAGTCCAACCCCCTGGGTAGAGGCCATCCATGTGCCTGAAGCCTTGGGATCAAACTCCCTGAACTGTGTAGTACAAAATTACAAAATACAGATTTCCAAGAATTGTAATAAGTCAGTTACAAACTATTTAAAGTCTCTGAAAACCTAATCAATAGTTTTGATAAACAAAAAGCATCACTGCAGCCAATTGATCTTCTATTTAAAAGAGGAAGGTTTACAGATACCCTGTTGCGTATGTAGAGGCACCGTTCGGAAAGTTTGGGCAACTGACGTAAATGTAAAAAAAATTTAAAAAAAAAACAAAAACGAATGTTTAATTATCTGGTTTGTCTCCAAAACAGATAATTAAACATGAACATTTTGTAGCTAAAGGCCACTGTACATTTTTTATCTAAAGGTAAATTGTGAGATGGAGATTTTTTAATAAAACAAAAACCAAAGTCAACGTTCTAGATTCTACAGAAATGTCTCTAATGTGTCTTCTTTTCCCACTTCTGTAAGTGCATGTGGTGATGATGTCATTCATTCTGTCTGCTCCCTAGTGTACCAATGGACACCTGATGTGTGCGGGCTGTTTTATTCACCTTCTGGCTGACTCGCGCCTCAAGGAGGAACAGGCCACGTGTCCCAACTGCAGGTGTGCACACAGTAATGTAGTGGAGACACTGGAAAATCAAGCTGGTTACTCTAGTTAGAAGCTGGTTACTCTAGTTAGAAGCTGGTTACTCTAGTTAGAAGCTGGTTACTCTAGTTTTACTCTAGTTAAAGCTGGTTACTCTAGTTAGAAGCTGGTTACTCTAGTTAATGACTGTAGTCTTTGTGAATTTGAAATTGATACATTTGGTAGTGGAGCGTCTGTTGTCCTAACATTGGTAATACGTTATGACACATTCTTGAGAACAGTTTGTTGAAATAGCAAACATGCAACATACAGTCACTATAGCATTGGAATATCGTAACGTAGTCATTTCCCTTCATTCTGTATGGACATGAGTATGAAAGGGTTTTTTTGCTACAAAAAGACCAGTGTGTAATTGACATGTAATACTTGTTATATTGTATAAACAGCTCTTTGTTTTCTGTCATTTTACCATCAACAAATCTGTCTGTTTAAATACCAAATCCTGCATGTGCTGAACAGGCCACACCTACTGTATGTTGGGTTTTAAACCCGCGGCAGGAGGTTGATCTGTGCATTCTTCTGTCTGTGTAGGTGTGAGATTAGCAAGAACCTGTGCTGCAGGAACCTGGCTGTGGAGAAGGCTGTCAGTGAGCTGCCGACAGAATGTACCTTCTGCCTGAAACAGTTCCCCCGCTCCAGCTTAGAGCGACACCAGAAAGAAGAGTGTCAAGACAGGTATAACGTGAACACGCATGCGCACACACACAGAGTTGTTCTTTTTCAGGCCTGATATCTAACAGGAAACAGGGACCCGTACAAATGACATCATTCCTAGTAAATGTGTGAAGCATGACTGTGTGTACGCGGTGCATGTGGCCCGTCATGTGGGATTCATTTGGGAACGTATAACGTGGAACCGATGAGGGGGGAGAGCAGCTGACGTGTGCGTTTGTTGCCCGTGACTCTGAGGCTGCTTCAATTTGCATAAAGGAAATCCTATGGGGTTGTTGCCTTGGCGACCAGTGACCCTGCTTAGGACAGCAGTAACTGTGCTGTGGTTGTCATAACAACGGTCATGGTACTCACCTGGTGTTTTTGCTCAGGTCAGACGCAGACAAAAAGAAACTTGATGCACTCCAGCGAAGCTCTGGTCTGTAGACTCTAATCAATAACGTGGGGCGGTCTTCAGACCTGGTCTGCTGGGCATATTACAATGAAATAGTGCTGTGTACTGTCAAGAACAAGAACCAAGTACTATTTTCATACTTGTCAGACCTGTGTCTTAAATATTAGGAAATGAAAAAGTATCCTGTACTCATTTAAATATTTGCATAGCAGTGCAGAAAGTGTGCACAATTGTTTCTGACTGAATGTGGCCACTGTGTGGTGCTGTGGCACTGGAACTATTTCTCTATAGCTGTTCAAAGGGTCTGTGGGTGTGGACTTGCCTGGACTTGCCTGTGTTGACTTTGTTGTGTCTCTGGGACCTTTTGGAAAGGATAGAAGACAGAAGACAAATGTCAAAGAAAGCAATCACTGAACAGAATATAATGAATACATTCATTATATTTGATATTGATTTATATATATATATGTGTGTGTGGAGTTATTGTTAAATACTGCAGACAGTACCTTTAAATGATCACTATCAGAGTGGTTGAACAGATGTTTGTCTTCGATTCAAAATTCTGGTCGGGTAGGATTCAGGACAGGACTAGAAAAAGACAGAGTCAGGACAAAACAGGTCTAACACCAGTAAACACTGGTAAAGTGACCTGACCAAGGAGGCTGGCAAGGACAAAATGGCACCGAAGGAGGGAACGATTATGAAGGCAATTAAGGCGGGAATGCTGACGAGACACAGGTGGAGCACATCAGTGAGGAGGAGGGAATCACAGAGGAGGGGAAAAACAAAGCAGGACAGGGACAGGTGGCAGGAAGTGGACAAGACAGACAGGACAAGTCACAAAAACAACAAAGGACTGTGCAGTGACAGACAGGAGCATTAGTGACAGACATCAGCAGATTGTTTGCAGTGACAGTATGACCAACAAAAGGATGAAATCTGCTGCTTTTCAATGTCCTCTGAAGGGCCAACTGTTTGAGTCCAATAATAGATGGTGTTAGTGTGAACGCTTGTTGTTCCTTCTGTAAATGTGTCCCTGTGATGGACACTGTCCAGGGTGTAGCCTTCACCCAGATGATGGCTGGAATAGAAACAGGTCGTAAGGAAAGAAATTAGATTACAGTCGGAGCTTTTAACAGACACCGTTAATAAGATTGTCACTTGTCCTTTAGTCCTTTGTGTTGTCTGTCAGTCTTCCAATTGTCCTTTGGTGACGTGTCCATTAATCCTAATAGTAGATTCAAATGGAGGCCTTGTATGAACGGATGCTGGTTGTCCGTCTGATCTAAGAGTCCAGTGACCTGTTGAAGATCTCTGCTCTGTCTCAAGTCCCACTTTACTAAATAGCCGTCTCTTTCCAAGAGTTCTTCTGTGTAGCTTGATTGTTAATTCTCCTCTTGTAAGTCACTTTGGATAAATAGCGTCGGCTAAATGCATAAATGTATGTAGCTACAGTACCTTGCTGTTATTTAAGACAAAACTTTGCTGTTAATGTGAGGTGAAACTCACCGCATGGGTTCAATTATCTTTGGTTCACCACTGGAGATAAGTAGTGCTTTTCACTTCACTTAAAAGCCTCTATTCCACTGTAATAAAGTGACAGCTATTCATTGAGAAACATCTCTATCTTTGATGTAATCATATGATATGAATCTGAGTTTCTCGCTCTTGACTGTGTGTGAAAGCTTGTCATTATTACACTTAATTAGCCTCGGATTAATTAGCACCTTTGATATTCTTAGTAGCATGCACTCTCCGAGAAGTAGCATGTAGTCGCTTTGGATAAAAGCATCTGTTAAATGTAATGTAATGTAGTCAACCCCGCCCACGGCGCCCCCGACGCTAACTCACACTTGTGTTTCTAGGGTGACACAGTGCAAGTACAAGAGGATTGGTTGCCCCTGGCAAGGTCCTTTTCACGAGCTGCCAGCTCATGAGGGCGAGTGTTCACATCCCACAAAGACCGGTACGGAGCTGATGGGAATCCTGGGAGAGATGGACCAGAACCACCGCAGAGACATGCAGCTTTACAACAGCATCTTCAGCCTGCTGTGCTATGAAAAGATTGGCTTTACAGGTATGTGTATATGAACACGAAAGAGAGGTGACGAGAGCGCACCCTGTTGTATGATTCACTTTGGTTACCGACTCGGAGAAAAGAAACGTTCTCGTCCTCCCACTCATGACACTCTTCACTGTTTTGAAAACCTGTTATGTGTCCATCCAGAGGTGCAGTTCAGGCCGTACCGCACCGACGACTTCATCACCCGCCTGTACTATGAGACACCGCGCTTCACAGTTCTCAACCAGACGTGGGTGCTGAAGGCTCGCGTCAATGACTCGGAACGCAACCCCAACCTCTCCTGCAAGCGCACCCTTTCTTTTCAGCTCATCCTCAAAAGCAAGGTACACACGTGTTTATTTTTAAAACCCTGTTTCAGAGACTCCTCTGTCGTCCTCCTCTGAAGCCAGAGGTGGCGTGAGTGGGCGTTAGCAGCAGCTGTGTAATTAGCCGGTGTCCGTTTGTGCTGCTCACATCTGACAGACCTCTGGTGATGATGGTGTAAGGTTGGCTTCAGTATTTAGGTGTGTCAGGGTGTTGGGTCTTGACCTGGACCAGAGCTGTCTGTCAGTGACACATGAACCGACATGTTGACTCTTCAACAGGGTTAAACAAACGGTATTTTGAATAAAATGTGCTACAGTCATCTAATATCTGGATAACGCCTCGTCTTTCCACGTGCACAGGTGAATTCTGCTCTGGAGTGCTCCTTCCTGCTGCTGAAGGGGCCGTACGACGACGTACGGATCAAACCCGTCATCCACCATCACTCCTTCAGCAACGACACCAACGAGACCGACTACGTCCCCCTGCCCATCTCCGATTCAGTGGAGTGCAACAAACTGCTGGCCGCCAAAAATATCAACCTGCGTCTGTTCATCTTCCAAGTTCAGAAATAAAGAGTCAGAGGAGAACAAGAGGAAGAGGAAGAAGAGGAGGAGGTGAAGAAAAAGGACGAGGAGGAACAAGGATGTTGGACGAAGGTGCAAAAAGAAAAGATGTGAAGATGAGAGAGACACCACTGAACCACAGATACCTCTTAACACACACAATCACGCAGGGTACACACACACACACACACACACACACTCACTCACTCACTAACGGTGTAAACAGAGAGACATGCCACTCGTGACTCTTCCCTCCTTCAGTGACACAGCTGCTGTGATCCAGGATGAAGGGTTTTGATGAGTGGGACTGCTGGTGTCACAGCTGTGGGCTCTATGGTTTGGTGTGGACCTCAGGAGGCTCTGAGGTCACCGACCTCTCACCCCTGACACCCATAGATAAAGGTAGCACACACACGCACATGCGCACACACACAACTACACAGTGTAGTTGTGTGTGTGTTTGACTGTTGGTGTGTGAGGGACAGACCCCAGAGGTGGGCCCACGCTGGGTCTGCATGAACAAACATGCCGGAAAATGTGAATACAAGAGCGCCTGCGTCCAGTCAGCTGCTTTCTGGACATGTGTACGGGGACTTCCAGGACATGACTGTGTGCCTGCGTGTGTGTGTGTGTGTGTATATGTGTCCCACCTTGTACCCCAGGTCACTTCCTGTTTTAGCAAACAGCCCCTACCCTGTTTTCTCAGTCGAGGACCGTGGGCCAGGCTGCGTGGATCTTTGTACTTCTTTGACTTATTCCTCCAGCTGTGATTCCCTGATATAACCATCAACACTAATCTTTGTTTGATTTTATTTTGATTTCTCTTAACCCCTTAATATTTAAGTAACTGTGAACTTTTATTCTTTTAGGAAGGCTTTTAGTGTGCAAGCTGCTGCTGACGTGGGTGTGTGTGTGTGTGTGTGTGTGTGTGTGTGTAGTAACTAGAGTACAATCCTCTGTGAGAATGGACTTCCCACAGTTAACGTCTCTGTTAGCGATTCAATAATCAGAAGTCCTTGAGCCCAAAACCAAAATGAGCTTGGTTTATTTTTGTATGTCAGAAAAAAGAAATGCAAAGTCTCTCGTTAAAAAAGCTGAAACAGAAGAGTAAAAAGTATTACATTGATGAAGCCTTTAAAATCCTGACATCATCACGCTGGCTGATTTTCACTGAAGCAACCAGTTGTTGCAGCTTTTATTTCTGTGCATATTTTTGACAAAAATGGAATGATTAAATACCGATCACTCAGTTGGACACAACACCGTGTCCTCCATCAACTAACAAATCTACCACTTCTACTGTCTAAATTATGATTACGATCCTTTTTGCTGGTTCTTGATGAACCTTAGATGTGAATGTGAGTGTGAATGGTTGTGTGAATGACGTTTTTAACAAGAGAAAGTGATGGAAGACGAATGACAAGATTTTTCTTAAAGAATCTGGTGACTCGCAGACAAACCTGGGACCTTTTAGTTTTATAGTCGGGATAGGCTTTAGGTTTTGGTTAAAAAAATAAATGAATAGATGGAAATATAATATGAAGCTTACAGAAAGCTGGGGACAGATGAGCTGCTCCGGTCGGCAGCAGCTGAGGAGTGACACCCAAACTGAGAGCAGAGTGTCGGGGTGATCTCCATCCATGTCCGTGTGCATGGACTTTTCTGGACGTGGGTTGGTGGAGCAGGGTTGGGAAGTTTTACTGTAACACAGTGACATGTTAGTGTTAGACCTACTTGAACAAGAACATGAAGACGTTACTTGCGTAGACTCTACTGTAAAGCAGATATCTCTCTCTCTCTCTCTCTCCCTCTCTCTCTCTTTCCTCCCGACCTCTATTTCCTGTATTTCTGTGTTTTAATGCTTTGTCTCTCTGCCAGTGGATTCACTCATCTCACTATGGCTGTACATGTGCCTTTTATTAAAGATCATGGAACCTACCAGGCCCTGCCTTTCTCTGTGTGTGTGTCATTGTGTAAAGGACAGAAATAGAGGTGCCATTGTGAAACCGTTAGTCAGTATAAATTATGCATTCGATCCTGCAGTTATGAAACCTAAATTTAATTTTAAAGCCCGGTGTAGATGAGGGATGTGTTTTATTGAATTTGATGGAGAGAATATGAATCAGGTTGAGGACAAAATGAATTACACGGCATCAGAACAATAACACGTGAGCTCATCATCGCCGTGTTCTTATGGATGTGACAGCAGTCTGATCACAGTGCTGGGGAAAAAGACTGCATTAGACAATTACACTGTATTTGTAAGGCTTTTTTTTAGCTTTGTCTAAAGTGCTGCAGGCGAGACCTTTAGAAGAACGTGTAAATAATTCAGATGACGACAGGATTTCCATTTAGCTGGACTGGTTTAAAGGTCCTGGTAATGTTCATTCTGCCTCGCTGTCACTGTGGATTCTGCTAAGATGGCCTAAGAATGCTTGACTGCTAAAAAAAATACATGAAAATCTTCAAAAACCTTAATAATTAATAACACTTTTGCTTTCTTACCTGGGGTTTCATTTAATTGGACCAAGCCATCATTTTAATCCTGGATTCTTTCCTAGTGTTTCAGGAGGATGGTCTCATGTTCTTACCTAATGTAAAGACAGTCAAGTGAATATTACAATGAAGGAAAGTGAGGCTCTAGTTTCCAACAGAGAAATGTTCAGATGCTCTAGTTTTTCAGCAGAAATGGTAAATGTGTCTGATCAGCAGGGGGCGCTGAAAGTTGCTGAAATGGAAATCTTCCAGGAGCTTTATTGAGTATGGTAACTGCAAATGTTCTTTTCTATTTATACCATATGTAACAGATGTCATGATGACATGGAACCCTGAACATGTTCTGTTCCTTGGTGGAAACACTGTGTGAGAACAACCCGTGTATAGAAACCCAAAGAATAGGAACAACCCACGCACACACACACACACACACACTCGAACTGTAGAATCATGAATTTCTCACATGTTAAAGAAACGACGTTTAGCAGACGTTAATGAACTGAGTGGATGGTTAAGTGTCTGTATCTGCACTTTAGCTCGGCACCAAGCACAGATGTGATTCTATTTACGTTAAGTATATGGAGTGTGTCCTCATATATTGCACTTTATTTGCTGATGCATGCATCATCCACCCTCATTAGCATCAGCATCGACATGAGGGGTGTAAAAGAAAAAAAAGAAAGAAAAAAAGTCACCCAGTGAGTCCAGCCATAGCACTTTATTCTCTTCACACAGTGCATTTCCTTAAAACACCATATATGTATATATATATATATATATTTCAATATAATTATTATAAAACTCCATTTATGTATATAAATAATGCATTCAATACAGCAGCTCTGATATATATATACTATTAAGCTTTGGTACATTGGTACATTGGTGTGTGAGTGAGTGAGTGTGTGATGTGTGTACATGCTTGTGTGTGTGCGTGCGTGTAAAAACAATGCGGCTCTTGGGCCCCATCAGGACAAAGGCAGGGGTAGAAGAGAGAGAAGGGCCTAGTGGGTAAAAGGGAGGTGTTTGTCTTAAACGTGTGTGTGTGTGTGTGTGTGTGTGTGTGTGGTGAGTTCACACAGGAACTGAAGTATCATCACTACATCCGCTCAGGCGTCTTCATCTCAGTCATCAGTACTGGCCGCTCCAGGACGGGGCGCTGAGGTTGCTGCAGCTGGGAGGGTGGCAGCTGCTGTGGTGGGGGGGCGGGGGCACCACGCAGCAGTAACCCACCTCCCCGCCCACAGCAGGAACTACTTTAGTGGGTGGATAGGACAGTGAGAGGCCTCCCTGCAGAGGCAGACAGAGCAGAGAGAAAGTTGTGGAATTTGCCTGGGCAGCACTTTGTGAACTGAACCACTCTGTGGCAACGACACCTCTGGGTCCTCCCTGTGTTTACCTGAACCACGCTACATTGATGAGAGGCCATCGGTGAGTACGTCCCCAGCACGGCCTGGGCCTGAGTGTGGGTAGGTTGCTGGACTCCGACGGGTGGAGCGTAACCTGCTGCAAAACACACAAGTGTATACCAGATTATTAACTTTGTTTTTTAATCACTGCATTTTGTCCAGTAAAATGGTTATTAAAGGGAAAACTGCCATGGGGGTGGGGGGAGGGTGGGGGGGGGTGCACAACCAGACAGTGTGTTGCTGCAACTTTGTACTGCACTAAACTATGAGGAAATACATCATGGTGAAAATAGAATATACAACACACTTTTTTACTCTTTACACCCTGACTACAGAGGGCGACACATTCCCAACTGTAACTCAGAGCGGTCTCAGTACTGATGGATTATCAGGGAGTAAAGGAACATTTATCGGTTTAACGATCATGTATATTTGACCTGGAGTCTAATCAGTTCATTCTAGAAGTCAAAGGTTTCAAAGACAAATCAGTGTCAACTGTTCCAATTAGTCATTTGTGAATCTGTTTTAGTTCCAAATGGACAAAAACCAACAAATCAATGCCAATGATTTGCCTCTCAGACTCCACAGCGTCTCAAACACTGGAACATTTCCTTCTTTGCTTTAATGAAACAAACAGCTGTTAATGTTCAAAGGTAGAGTGTGCAGAACCTGTTGTGTTGTTAGAGAAGACGTGGCTTCCCTGCAGGGGGTACTGTGGTGCAAAATGACTTTTTATTATGTAAAGTTTTCTCACATTAAACAGGAAACACATGTAGCTTTTCTGATTAGCTGCTTCTTCTCTTCATTCCAAAAAAATGTTTAGTGACGCACAAAGTTTTGCTCTGAGATTCATATCCTACGGAGACTCTGATCCTTAGCCTCCCCCACTCAACACTCACTCACGTTTGGGTAATTTTTACCAATATCCGTTGAACCCTGCCCCTGCAGGTCATCAGTTGTTACTGCAGCCAAAATACAATTCCAGGTGGCGTCCAAGGTCAGAGCCAAAGGGAACATTTGTCTTTCACGCACAGCATGTAGTTCTAACAAGAAGCAAGTGGTGCATTACTGCCACCTACTGTAAAAAAACATTCAACCATGAATGTCCTAATCAGTCGCAAAAAAGTTAAAAAGAAAAGACAAAGAGAAGGCATCATCTCTGCATATGAAGTTTCCCTTTGAAAAACGGAGGAAATGACCTAAGCATGATCTGATCTTTTTAAAGCACACTCCTGGAGAGTTTGGAGAGTGATTCATTTAATGTACAGCATAAAATGCCCTGCGTGGTTTTTATTCTTGTGACACTTTTATTCATCATTTTGAATTGATAAGAGCTGAACTTCTTTTCTATTATTCTCAAGTCTTTATTACCACTGGCTTAAAATATAAATGACTTCAATAAAATAATTTAGAATGATTATAACAGTGTGGTTTTTATGAGCATTCTCAGTTGCACTCATCCATCCGTCTTTGTTTGGTCCTGTTCTCGTCTTCTTCTTCTTCTTCTTCCTCTTCTTCTTCCTCTTCGTCTTCTTCTTCTTCTTCCTCTTCCTCTTCCTCTTCCTCTTCACTACATCTCCGACAGTGTAACGGCCCCCTCCTCTACTGCCACAGTCTCACCCTCACACACACACACACACACACACACCTGTGGTAGGTACTGTACCTGTTGGTTGTGCTACTTGGCTGTGCAGGTGCTGACTGGGGGACACAGGCCTGCAGCCGTGCTGAGCTGAGGTAGAGTACTGACCGTAGTAATACACAGGCACCTGCAGGAGGATATATTACAATCAGTAAGTATTACTCTCTCCTCTGCCGGCTGTGAAGATGACAGAGATCTGGTGTCAAGAAAGTACGCCCAATCAACGCTGCCTTTATGAAGCAGCACTATTCAACGCTGTGACTGTGGTGCCGTACCTGAGGTGAGGGCTGGCAGTAACTGGGAGGGTTAGGAGGAGGAGGAAGAGGAGGAGGAGGAGGAGGAGGAGCTGCATAGACGTAACCCTGACTGTGAGGGTAGAGGGGCGGGGCTTCGCCTGCTGACTGACAGCTCAGTGTCACGTGAGCAAACTGAGAAGAGAGGTCTTCCATCTGTTGGTGGACACACACACACACACACATTAGGTTTTCATGAAATCAATGATAATGTTGTTAAATTAACGTTTAAAGATTTTCCAGAATCATAAAGTGTATTATTTATTGTAAGACAAACAAAAAAAAAAACAGACTTGTGTCACATTACACCAATATAGTATACCTGTGTATATATATTTACATATATACTGTATATATGATACTAAAACAGTAAACAGATGTGTACTAGTATGTCGGTTCATATTCATATAATGTCCTTAGGTGTTGTGTGTTTGACCTCTTGGGGGCGTGGTCTGTTAACTCTTAGTAATCAGTGTAACTCTAAATGGTGTGTTTGTGCAGTGGGACAGTACATACTGGTTGTGGTGGAGGGACAGGTAACATCTGTGGAGCTGAGTAAGAGACAGACGAGTACTGCACCACCTGAGGGAGACACAGGTGGAGACACGGGCATGAAGAGACGTTGACATCTACACACACACACACACGTGTGACCGCGGGAACGCATCCCGTATGTTAAACACGGCCTGCTGTGAGTGTGTGCCTGGCTGTGTACTACCTGCTGCTGCTGAGAGGGAGCGCTCTGAGGCTGAGTCTGGCTCCTGATTGGTGGCTGGCTGTCTGGAGGGATGTAAACAGCAGGAGATCCATCAGGGTTGAGAAAAGGCTGCCCTGAGAGTGTGAAGGCAGGAGAATGAGCGTGTGTGGGAACTGGAGTCTCTGTGGTGTACACGTGTACACAACATTTCAAAGTCAAGGTCATCGTGAAACACAGCTCAGTTTATCTGTTTATCCAGACCGGTGTTTCCCAACCTTTTTTGAACCACGGCACATATATATCATCAGGAAAACAATAACAATCTCACAAAAAGTCTATCTAATGAAATATAATCATCTTCTAGTTTAAATGTACTCCTGTTTAGTTGAAGACAACGCAGATATAGAGGCAGGAATTGAAGACAGACACTCACAAAGATCTTCTTCAACAGCTCTGATTATCTTTGTTTTTAGTTTTCATAACCATCTGCTGCCACCTTATGGAAGAGGATTTAATTGTTCTGCCTGTCATGCATTGACGAGAAAAGAAAAATGATATGCAATAAATAAATGATAGTTTTCAGTCGAATAAGTTGGATCAAATTGAATAATTTTCCACGGCACACCTAACAATCTCTCACGGCACACTAGGGGGCCACGGCCCAGTGGTTGGGAATCACTGATCTAGACTCTGTGACTACATTTGTTAACATGTCCTAAAAAAAAAATCACTAACTCATGTGTGTGTGTGTGTATGTGTGTGTGTTGTGTACCAGTATGTGGGTTCACTAATATGCTTCCTGGTGGGATCCCGTTCTCCATGATGTAGGAAGAGTTGTGGGTGGGCTCCTCTCTGACGGGAGGAGACGAGCTTTGGGGACAGGTGGCTGGCAGTCTGTACAGAGCGATGGAGCCTATGGAGAAATGACAGAAAAGTATAAATATATAAAACATAAGAGACGTGTGGCAGCACTTCCAACTAACGGACTCATTTTTACAACATCTCCATCTGATGAAGAACGACACACACCGCTCCTCTCCGTGCTAAAAATGATTCCGTGTGCACCCCCTGAGAGCAGACTCTGGGATGACGTATTTTTTTTCCTCCTGACTGTGTGAAGACGTCTGGAGGTGTGGTGTGAAAATTTGCAGCTACGGCGTGAGCGTTCGTGGAATTGCTTCACATCTTCACACCAGACACACTTCCACTTCTCTTTGTTAATTAGATGCTACTGATTAAAACAGGAGATCATTTATAAACAGTGATGTTTTTCCCAGAGTGTGGCGTGCTGATGAAATCTGGGAATAAGTTTCCTGGCTCTCAGGTGCGGAGGAGCGAAGTGTCTCACCCTCCTCCCCTGAATTTACACATCCAAAGTGTGACAAAGGGAGCGGTTAGACAAAAGGTCACAGCGTTCTTCCAAAGACGCACCTGAACCTTGCGGTTCCCAGCTGTGGTTAGCGGGGTGACAGTGTTTCGGGGCGGAACTCGTCCAGTGGCAGGAGGAATCTGAGTCGATGCTGCTCCACGGTTGGGGTTCGTTGCTGTAGCGACAGTCGATCTCCGTGCTGCTCTGTTTGCTGCTGCCGTTCCAGCTGGAGCTGGAGCTTTTACGACTGTTCCTGTGAATCACAGCCACGGTTTACCATTCAAAATGTTCTACATCCACTTCTATTGCTGGTGAGAGACACAGACGATTCTAAACCACGAGCAGCTCAGTACGGGAATGTTTCACTAATCGACTTTAGCTCCAAAAAGATGTTCAAAGCAGAGACAAATGCACTTTTCATTAAGATAAAATCTAAAGGATAAACGTGATTTTAATGTGTTAAAACCAAGGTTTGTACAATTCAAATGTTGAACTGGAATCATCCTAATGTCAGAGAACGCCCGGCTCTGTGGTTTTTACTGTCCTTTTTATTGTTTCTCTAATGTATGCGTTGCTATTTTTAGCAGTTAGCAAATGCTGTTTCTGTGCGAGGAGCCGCTTCGTGGAATATAACATTTCGCCCTTATCTAACCTCAGAAAACATGTTGGAGAAACTGAAGACATGAGCAAATCAAATCAAACTTTTCCTCAAGAATGTCTGAAAAGTCAGAGACATAAAAAGTTTATCATAAAAAAACAATTCAATTCTTGAAGAAATAAAAAACAAAAAACTAAATTACCAGCTCTAAACAGCACAACTGAGCATTTATTATGTAGTTATTTATTTTAAACAGTTGTACTGTAGAGAGTTCCAGAAAATAATAAACACCATCTGCTCTGTTAAATTTCAAAATGATAAATTTAATGTTAATACATTTAAACTTTAACTACAGCCTACACCTTTCAGTTACATCCAGAAGTTCTATTGTTGTGGTGGGTTTTTTTTTGCGATTAAAAAAATCAAATCTTAAAAAAACAAAAATGTTTTGCCCTGTTTCCATCAGACCAGGTCAGGGTCGGTCACATCGATCAGAATAAATGAAATGAGAAATAACATCAGTGATGACAGAGCTCTACCTGAAGAGCTGCCTTTTCCGCTGAGTCTCAGCGTATGGGTTGTAGTCCTCCACGGCCCTGCTCACACAAAACACACACACACACAAAACACACACACACACACGCATATATTAATTTTCTCATCTAAATATAACAAGTTCAAAAAGGAACATGGAGAAAACTCACTGCAGGCAAGGTTACCTGGTTTCTGCATGGGCGCTCTCCTGGGTGAAGAAAGGCTGAGGAGAAAAAAAAAATAAGAGTGCGAAAGAAATGAGTGAGTCTGGTCAGCGTCATCTCTGCCCGTCTTCATCTGCCTCTCTGTCTCACCTCCTGGTTAAAGATTCGCTCTCTGACTTTTTGATATTCCTCCTCTCTCTCCTCCACCGACTTGCTTTGTTTCTCCCGTAACGTGTGAGTTCGATTCTGTAAAACAAGGACAGGTCAAAACGCTGAAAGGAAATGAGGAAGGTCAAAAAAACGGAATAAACTCCAGAGAGGTAAACCTGGTCGTCGGAACTGTTGTCTCTCTTCAGAATGAATTTCCAGCAGTTGATTTCCTCCTTGTCCTTGTCCACCTGATCCACGAAACGCTGCTCAGGTCTTTTGGAGACAAAACCAACAACGAGCACAGTGAGATTCAAACCGAAGGGCGTGGGCTGGCTCGGCTGACTCACTCAGAGATGCTGGGCATGCTTACATGCGTGTGCTGCTGGTCCTGTTGATGATGACAGACTTGCCTGTGTGGTCTACATTGTGCTCCATGCCAAAGTAGGCCGCCACCCGATGGACCAGCATACGGTGGTACGACGACATGTGAGGAAACTTCTTAAAAGCGCTGACGGCGGTAGGAATGGGAAATGACACGGAGAGGCAGGAGCGAGGAGGAGGAGAAGGAAATGAAAGCAGGAAGGAGGAAGGAGGACGGCGATGGAAGGAGGGAGTGACAAAGGACCAGAGGGGGAGGGAGGAAGGTGGAGTGAGAAAGAGAGGTAGAGAGAATGAGGTCAACTCAAACTGCCAGTAATTTTTGGCTCCAGTCCAGGTTTGTCCCCCGTGGTGCCGACAGACCTGCACTAACACCACTGACTCCATACATCGACCGGCAAAATGAACATACTTTTAATTCACTTCAAGTCGTCTTCAATCTACTCCAGATATTAGGCTGCGCACCAGTTTCATGTAAGTACATTTAAAGAACACACACACACACACACACACACACACTCATACCTATTGCTGGTAATGAAGTCAATCATGTCCTGCTCCAGTTTCAGCAGCATCATTCGGTCTCTGGGGTTGCTGTTGAGGGTTTCGGTGATAAAGTGGTGCAGGTCTATGCCGGTGGAGTCGGTGTACTCCACGCTGGACTCTGAGATGAAAGCGACACAGGCAGGAAACTCAGGGACGTGTTTACGAGAGAACAACAGAAAAAGCCAAAACAGCACAGTGCAATATCAAAGAGCCCAGGAGGGCGGCATCTAAACAGCAGCGCAGAATTCCTTTTTATTACATTTCAATTACTTTCTTTGGTTTATGAGACATCAATCACTCTCTAACACACACACACACACACACATACCTTTGGTCAGTTTCTTTGGTTCTGGCAGCGTCTCCTGCTCCTCCTCTCTACACGATGTCCTCTCATCGTCATGGCAGCCTGATGAAACATTTGTGTCTTGAGAAGCCTGAGAGAAAGATCAAATTTAATTTGAGTTTGATGATGACGAGGATGAAGAAGAGGTGTATGATGTGTGTGTGTGTGTGTGTGTGTGTGTGTATTACCTGGCTTTCTTCAAATGGCGACGACTCCTCACAGACAGCTACTGTTCGCACTAACTTTCCTTTCGCCTGGAACGCACACACACCCACACAGAGGCCATATTACATATTTATAGAGTAGAATGCAATCGATATTGCAGTGAGGATGAATAATGAGAGGCAAAATTATTTTAGCTTACCTTAACTTTTTTCTTTGGTTGCACCTGGTTACAGTGTTTCTGCGAGCGAGGACACAATTTGTCAGCGAGTGAGCGCGAGGAGCCGAAGGGCGCATAATTTGCTGGTGTATTATTAATGTGGTGGCGAGCACCGCTGTGCGTTAGTGTCACTTACTTGCTGCTCCGGCTTCTTACTGTCGTGGTGACGCTCCTCTTCCTCCCTCTGACTGCAGAGGGACAAACACGGCGTAGGGGAGGGGCAGCTGATGACGTCACAGGGCGGCACATCGCAGGCTTTTAGGAGGACTTGTGCACTTTCTACGGCAGCTTCGGTCATTCTTCTGTACAGCAGCAAACACACTGAGTGAGTCTGCGGTGTGTGTGTGTGTGTGTGTGTGTGTGTGTGTAGGAACAGCCCTGGTAATGTTACTGGTTTCTCTTTAGGACCATATGTTCTAATGAGAACAAAACTTTGTCCCTAATGAAGCAGAACATTTGTTTCAGCTGTTTTTGGGGGAAAAATGTCAATTGAATTGATGGGAGTTTTAGGCACTAATGGTTTTATGGTCAGAGACGGGAAAAACTGTACAAACAGATGGAGGTCAATGCACAATCCTAACAGAAAGAGCTGTGGAAACCTGTGTGTGTGTGTGTGTGTGTTAATAAAATCGTTCAAACCTATTTGGCGTTGTTTACTGGAGAGCCTCACAGGTAAATGATGAGGTCATATATCCCATGTTCCAGCAGGGCGGCCAGAAACGCAATTATCCTCTTTCCACCAGCGTTCAGACCCTCGGTGCTGTTGTTCTGTGTGTGCTGGCTCTTCAGTGGTCAATGGGAGAAAAGGCCTGAAGAGACGGAAAAACACAGTGGGAGACAGATAAATAAATAAATAAATAAATAAAAGTGTCGGTGCTTATTGTAGCGGGAAAGTGCCGCTCTCGCTATTTTTCTGGCACTCACATACAAACAGGCACAATAACGCATTCAGCAGTTACCAAGGCATAAAAGAAAAGCTGCAGTAAAATGGCACCATGTAGTTAAGCTAATGTGTGCGTTTGTGTGTATTAACCTCTGCTGCAGCCTCACAGCCGTTTCAGGCTCCACTCTTAATTGCTACTTTGGCTTTGTAATGGAACTGTGTCTATGGATCTGTGACGCTAACATATAGGCTTGTCCTCCACTCGGCCATTAGCCTGTGTGTTTACATGTGTGCAGGTCCTGTACACTCATGTCTGCTCTGTGTGTGTGTATGTGTGTGTGTGCTGGTATGTTTGTGTGTCCTGGAGCTTTTCTTAGAAACAGCAGCTGTGGATGGTATCATCTGATCCACCACAGATATTCCCAGAATGCCAAGATGAGTTTGTAATCCCTGTGGTGAGAATGTGGCTAAGACCAAAGAGATAGACCAAAGGGGGAAACGCACACACACACGCGCACACACACACTAGGAAGTGTCATTCCACCATCTTTTCCGAAGGACCAACTGCGTTCATTTGGGACATACATTCCACTGTAACTGGGAGCTCAGAGGGACACTTATTCCTGTAACACCTGGGATGGGATAACGAGCTCGGAGAATGCTGAGTCCCATAACATGGTTATTTAACACCCGGCCAGAGATAACAGCACTTTTTTTAATATGAAGCTCAAGTGGTGTTTACTTCCGCTGCCGCCTTGTGTCTGCGGCAGTGACAAGAAATACTTGTGATATGGACGACAGCCGTCTGAAATTACTGGCTGAGATAACACTGAGCAGAAGAGCTGTGTTTTCATTAGAAAATCGAATGGAACAAGTTCTTCACCACTGCTATTCTATTTAATACACAGACGTATTATGTTCTGGTGATTCCTGAAATGGTTTGTAATAATCACTAGTCAGAATTATTATTATTTGTATGTTATTCCCAAGTATAAATATGTTTTGATTTTTTTTTAGTCTAACATGAAAGCGCACCATAATAATAGAAGAATCGTCACTTTAGGATTGTGACAGCAGACATCGATGCCAGCTCTCTTTTTCTGGTTAAACAGACCAATTTGTGTTTAATAAGACGGATATATATAAATTATTAAATTATCGTTAGCAATGTTGAAAGCGTCACGCTAGGCTCTGCTAAATGCATCATTTATTTGCACAACTCACTGACATTTTGAAGCCAAGACAATTTTTCAAGAAATCACCAGCCAATTAATGTGTAATTAGATTCCTCATAATTGCTGGCTCTGTTGTTTGTTTGTCTGGGCGAGATACTGCCGCAATCTGTCCCTGTGTGGTGCTCTGCTGCAGCCCACAGATGATACGGGGACGATCAGGGGACAATCAGGGGACGATCAGGGGACACGGAGACAGTCAAAAGCACACAACAACTTGCGATGCTCCCTAACGTGCAGTTGACAGCTACTTGTTGAGACGTCCTTTAACCGAACGCATCAACTCCACATGTGCTGCACTGTGACTGACCCTTGGACAGAGGGGGGAGGGAGGGAGGGGGACAAAATGATGCATGTCCTCTCATCAACACAATCAAAAACAACAGTCGTACGGGTCCAGAGCTGCATCTCTGCAACAATCAGAGGAGGATGGGATCACGGCACAAAAGACAGGAAGAGGAGAGAGTGACACAGGGCAGATACACTTCAGAGAAAACAAGATGAACGCAGGGGAGAGGGGAGCAGGGGTGAGGGGAGGGGAGGAAGAAGTCTGCAGGGACTTTAGAGGTGAAGCCGGGTGACGGCAGGAGATGGAGAAAAGTGAGGAATTGATAAAAGAGAGACTCGCAGCTCAGTCTGTCTACGCGCTTTCCAGCCAACGGTCGTGAAGACGGGATTTGAGTGGAAGTACCAGTTTTTGAGCTGAGCGCTGCAGAAGCGGCCAGCCGCCCGGGGAGAAGGTGTGACACGATCATTAGCGCGTGACGGATGGCGGCGGGAGGCAGGGAGCGCCAGTACCCGCTACATCATCATCCATCTGCTGCTCTCCCCAAAGCCTTCGGCCTCGGAGCCACTTACTCACCAGGACACCTTTCTTCTCCAGCCAAAAGCTGCCTGGCTCATCTACACAGACACACAGGCGGCAGTGGGAAAACGTCCAAAAGCTACTGTAGACGGCCATTGTCGGCAGCAAGTTATATTAAGACCTTCAGGCCACTGCCATCTGATTCAGAACGAAGGCCGTTGAATGAACTATGAGGATCATCTTCTAACCACTGCACAGCTCTTACATTTATTTTTTTCTACAGTCTCCCCACTGGTTTGTCCGTTTCCGAGGACAGGCAGCTCTGCTTTCTTATTTGTTTTAATTTGCACCATTCTTTTTGAGAAAAAACCTATAAAAACTGGGAAACGTTATTGCCTGCGGTTACACAGGCTGCTGTTTGGGTTTTGTGGGAATTTAAAAGGGGACTTTATGTTTTCTCTCCCTCAGCTCAGAGCTCATTATGAGACCATTCAGCTAGAGAGTGAAAACCGCAAGAGCAGGTCCCTCTGGTCCAAAATAATAATTGATCATTTTACTGGGATTCTTCTGCAGTTTTTAAATCAGTTACATACACAGGTGTCCAACTGTGTTTATATGTTTGATCCCTAAACACTCACACCATTATACCTGAAATCTTTTTGATGGAGATTCTATTTTTTTTCTCATTACACCTGCTGCGGTATATTAGAGTAAAATAAAAAAGGTCACCGATTCTTTTGTCCTCTACTCTGAGACGAGCAAAGTAGAGAAAGTGGGCTACTGGTGAAAATACAGGGTGCAGCGGTCTTCGAGTCCACAGCACCTGGGCTTGTGGGCGCGACAGCTGTGCTGCTGCTCTGCAGCTGAATTCAAACCTGAGGTGGTGAAAATACCAGGAAAGCACAGAGAGGTGGCCTTGAACGGCTACTTCACTCAGAATAGGCTCTGTGGCTCTCAAACGCTGTCATTCACCGACGCCGTCGCAGCTTCGCGGACGTGATGTGGTGAATATGCTGAGACAAACAGGTGTCATCTTGGTGCACGAGTTCAAGGCTTCCTGTTAACCCACAAAAATGCGACAGGCCAATGACGACGCTTGATCAGGTGTGTGATCTGTTGCGGTCAGAGGGTTTTAAAACAGGTGCAAGTCATGTCTGACTGTGTCTGTTGGGTATTTTTTTTCTTTTCTTTTTTATTGCTGTGAGTGCACTTCCTGGTTTAATGTTGAACAATTGAGCCTGAAATAACTGCGTGAGGACAGCATAAACATTTACTGTCACTATTTTACAGCCCAGTATTGTCATAAATGAACTAGGTTTTGGAGGTAAGTACTGGTAATAAAGGGGCAGTTTATCATTTCAATTTTCAAACGAAATCACATTCATTCATGGCATTATGAAATGAGTATGGACATACAGGCTCCATCTTGTGGTACTGCATGGTGGTCTATCACTAATATGGACCCGTCTGTATTAGTTCAAGTTGGTAAATCCAACATACAGTTCTAGTGGTTTATTTTAAAGTGCCACAAGAGGGAGCCTGTACCTTTCAAGTTGAGGATTAAGACGTTGATAACGATTGAATTTACCGTAATTTTTGTGCGAATATATTTAATAAATGTAAAAAAATACACAAACTATAAAAAGTCAATGTTTTAAACATGAGTTAATTATCACTGGTACGAATCGGAAAATGGGCGTCAGGAATTCATGCAGGTGAAAATACAATTTTCGACAATTACCGCAACAAAATTGGAGAACTCTAAAGGTCGATCGAAATTAGATGAAAAAAAAAAAAAAAAAAAAACTCGTCATCGCCCCACGCCTGAAAAGAACCCTCACAAAGATAGAAAGACAAACATATGTTTGTGTCGCATTACAGTGACCCGGACTGGAGCTCAGACACCGGGCTATTTTTACACCTGGCGGCCGGGGAGCGGACCTCCTGCTGCGGGACTTCACCGTGCTGTCAGAGCCGAGGACGAAGACAACACAGCAGGAGGAACCAGCAGCAATAATTCACCTAATAGAGTGAAGCTAAACAGACATTTATTATAACATATGACATAATATATATATATATATATACATATATATATATATTTATACACGCTATTGCTGAAATCACAAGTACATTTAAATATTCTACTTTTAAGTGGACACGTGTTATATACAACAAAGAAACTGGAAATCGAAAGAAAAGTCGTGTTAAAATCAGACGTAAATCAACTTCAACTCCTTGTGAGTGTCAATTAAATGTTGGTAGAATTTTCAAAGTGTGATTTTTTTTGTCCATTTAAACGATCGAGATCGATGATCGGCGTCGCTAAGGTGACAGCGGCGGGGCTGAGGCGACCGTTAGTTAGCAGCGTTCACACAGATCTTCGTTTAAACCACGGAGTTTTTCACAACAAATACACGAAAGAAATCCCCGTTTGACCAGTTTTAACTACATTAACTATTTAAAATCATTTTAAAAAACATCGTCCTGGTACAGCGGAGGATGTGAGTGTTTTATAGTGCTAATAAAGCAGGGGTGGTTTCAGCAGTTACCCCGGTTTCAGTTCGTCTTCTTACCGTGAGCTGTCGCTGTCTTTTCGCCGCGGTCCGTTGGACTGTGGCCGTTGATCAACTGCTGCTCGAACCAGCGACTCCGACTGCCGCACATTCACCCAGCGTCTGCTCACTGAGAGCTCCGCGCCTCTCCTTCGCCTTTTTCCTGTCTGCGTCTGAGCAGGAGGAGCGGACTAGAGGAGGAGAGAGGAGGGGGAGGAGTGAAGAAGGTGAGAAAAGGAGGAGAGGAGGAGGAGGTGAGGAAGGGAAGACAGGAGGAGAGTGCAGACAGGAGAGTGCAGACAGTTCTGAAACCCACAGCCACGCGCCCACGCGCACATGCAAAGGGTGGAACGCAGGAGAGGCGCTGCTCCATCGGCCCACTCACCTGTCTCTCTGTCCTCATCCTGCGTGTCTCTCTCATCTCCACATCTGAAGGTCTCCAGCTCCAGCTCGTCCCATTTCCATATCCCTGCATTTCTACCTCACTGATATGTCCTCACACTTTGTCTCATTTGCTGGACTCCCCCACATTAGACTGTCTGTCCACCTCTTTATCATGTCCTTCACCTTCATGTCCGTCTGTCCTCATACTCTATAACCTGTGTCTCATTTTCATAATGTCCTCCTGCTGTAAGTCTTCACATCTATTGACCCCTCTCCTGGGGGACATGGTCTATTGTCCTGTCCTTCAGTCCACAGTTTTCCTGACTACGTCCCTCTCACCGTCTTATCTCTCATCATGGTCTTATGCACCCTATTGTTCTGTCCCTCTGTCCACCTACCGTTGATCTGTTTGACTGTTACAGTTGTCTCAGTCATGTCTCACTGTCTCCATATGGTATGTCTCCCATTCTCTCTGTATCTTCCTCCTGTAGTGTCTATGTCTTTCAACACCCCGTGACTCATTATCAGGTGTCTCTCTCTAACGTCTCAAACTGTCTGTCTGTCCCCACCCTCTCTTTGTCTCTCTACTGTTCTGTCTTTTTTCTCACTATTTTACACATTTGTCTCGTTCTGTCTCTGTCTCTCTGACCTTATATTATACGTCTCTCTGTTCTACTACTAGTCTCTGTCCCTACACTGTGCGTCTCTTTCACGTTTCTGTCTCCCTCTTTAACTGCGTGTCTCCCTTATTTCCCTGTGTCTGAATTATATGTCCATTTGTCGTTTCCCTCACCTGTCTCTCTCTCTCTCTCTCTCTCTCTCTCCCCCCCTCCCTTGTTTCAGCCCATGTCTCTTTACTCTTGTAATTACTGCAGTAACTGGCGTGAACACAAAGAGAAACTGTCTCCTGTGCCTTTATTAAATCTAAAAATACTCCGTCTCTTTCTTGCAGTGGTGGGCCACAGGCTGCGTTTGACACAATAAGTAGGCATTTTCGCATAAGTACAAATTTGAGTGTATCCTTGTGCCGAACACATATGAGACTTTATCAACCTGGGGGTGAGGAGGGGGGAGGCTGAAAGAGAGACAGATTATGCTTGTTATGTGTCTCGTGCATTAGAAGTCCCTCCACTGCCATGTCGGAGCTGTGTTGTTGTTTTTGGTCTTTGTGGTCTGTCGGTGTTTGTGCGAGCTCGTCTTTGTCCTCGTGGTGCTGTTGTGTGTCTCTGGGGTCGTTTTCTGTTCCGCCCGGGGGTTTTTTTTGGTAGCATTTTAGAGTTGATGAACTATGAGGCGTCAGCTGCTCTGTGGACTCGGCCTGTTTTCTAATTGGCACCGTAGTAGAACCCATTCACATTTTAACATTTTACTCCGTACACACTGATATACACAGCCACCAGACCATACCTGAACCACCGTACAGGAGAATCAGATCATTCATTCATTCAATATGAATATACTTTGCCACACAAGTGTGTTTCCACTGTTCCATTACAGAGAACTAGTTATTCTGTTTGAGATTTTTTTTATAATGTAATATAAATCCTTAATCCTTAACATGGACTGTTATTTGACCATGTCAAACAGTTGTACAAAAGTATAATGATTCATGTGCATTTTCTGATCTATACAAGCCTCCAGATAAAGAGGAAAAAGACTATGTTAAAGTTAGCTTCACTGACCTATGGGCTTCGATGGAGGTGTTATATCATACCAAGGTCAGCAGACGCTTCTCCACCCCGGCAGGTTGAACAGTAAACTCCAAAGTCTGTGAGACGGCTCTGTGCTCGTCTGAATGAGTCTGGTCTGGTCTAGTCTAGTCTATTCTAACAGGTTTAGGGCTGGTCTGCAGTTAAAAGCTCATTGACAAAGCCGCGGGTGGCGCAATCATCATTTCGCCTGACCTTGATAACAGAACGACGTTTTTTTTTTCAGAGTGAAGAAAACCCAGCTTTCTGTTTCGATGAAATCACCTCCATCACTTTTACTTTTTGAAGCTCACGCATAAATCAGTCAGAAATGAATGGAGATGCAGAATGTATGAGTTATATTAAAATATGTACTGGAGAAAATAGATAATAAATACTGGTTTATCAACGCTGTGTCTAATTAATTAACCTAACGACTTAACACGTACGCTCTCTCGTCATAAAGAATTCCTGCTCTATGCTGGAGTTTGTACAGCAGGTAGAGCCTTTCTGACCGTCTGGATTGCTGCAGGTTATTCTATATTAAACGTTTCTAACAGTGGTTGGGCTCTGTTGTTTCACTGTGGGTATCTTCTGTAAACCTGCTGTTCCAAATGAATCGCCCCCCAGTGGCATTAATATGGCCGTTAAGCTGAAATTAATATTTTATGATCACTCACACTTTCTAAAATAAATTCTCTTGACATTACGGTCCAAATGTTGTACAGCAAACTGCCAGCCATTCTATTTGAGCTGAATTTTAATGGATTAGGAGTCGGTGGTGGGGAATCAATCAAATGTCAAACTCTAAAAATATCATTATTAGTCCTACGGAGAGCGGAACACGGAGAATGTGTCTGTTAGCACTAGAGAACGCTGTTCAAATATAGCTGCAGCCCCGGCAGGAGCCAGTGTTATCCTTTATCACTGTATACTGTATGTTTACACCCACCATCCAAATCTGAGTCACCCACTATGGTTACACCGCCACACAGGCCCGAGTAATAAGGTATCCTGTTACACGGGTGACGTCTCATTAAATGTTTCCAAGCGTGATGTCAGGACCGCTGTTTCAGAACAGCTCAGGTCATTAATGTCCAAATCCAATCTCTATGGCTATCCTTTACAACACTAATGAATACATTAGGATCCGTGCTAATGTAGTGTTTCTCTTCTCTCGCAGACATTTTGATTCCTTATCTTGTATTTTTTTTATTTGCTTTTGATCTTTTTTTTTTTATCGTGGGGTGGGTTCACGGTAAAGTCACTTTAACCAAAGTGCAGTTTAATGTCGTTGTGGTGGAGCATTTCTGCAGACGTTAGCAGACCTCAGAATAAACGCAGGCTCACAACACACATGCTAATGTGGCTTTTTGGTGGCTGGCTGTGATTGGTCACTCGGTGTATATATAAACACAGAAGTTTCTGATTCAATTTTGCAAAATTCACAAGTGAAGTAGAATGAAGAACCACTTCAGTCGTTACCTTCATCAGGGGTCACCGCGTCTGTAGTCGATGTAGTGATTCAACATAGTTTCCATACAGGGCGCCCTGCCCTCCCTGACTCAGTCATCCTCATTCTGCCTGGAAATCAGCTCCAAAGATGGATCCTTCCTTCCTGTGTGGAAGCAGAGATTACCTCATTAGGCTGGTGAACAGAGAAGAGAATGATAGCTTCATTAATAAACAGTAGCCCATTTAAATACAAAAAAGTGCTTGACACACTGGGGAAGTTAACAATAACAAAGAGAAGTGTGTCTCAGCACGGAGCTGTAAAGAGGTCCAGGATCACTCCCACACCGGAGGATTCCCGCTGCAACTGCTGCACAGATTTGGCCCTGAATAATAATAATAATAATAATAATTATAAAACAGTCAGCTTTCTTATCTGAGCTGATGTCATTAACATGTTAGAAATACACATTTCAGGTCATTTCAGACTCAACATCTCAGATATCAATTTGTTAGTTTTTTTAGAAAAGATTTGGAATGAAAATAGAGCAAACTTTATATTTCCCTTAACTGTAAGAAATATATGATCAAAATGAATATGGTAATGAGTATTAAAACATTTACTGTATTTCCTTTAGGATGATAAAATACAATGTCCAGTTAAAAACACACATCATAACTCTCTCTCCCCTCCGGCTCATTTGCACCAGCTGAGTCGTCAACAACCTGCCTCTGAGTTACAGTCAAACAGAGAAGAGTGTGCACGCCTGTTCTTTCAGATGACAGTTTCACAACATCAGAGACACCACACTAAGAATAAGTGTGAACGTTCACTCCACAGATAGGTGTAAAGTCTGCCTCTCTGACGACTTGTTTTAATGATGTTTTAGGTTGAACTGTTTTCACTGCATCACTCTGGATTCTATAATCCAGTTTTATCCAGATTGACAAAAGTCGTAAAAAAACAAATCATAATCTTGGCCTTAAAACAACTATTTGAGGCCCGATGTGCAGCACTGAGTGTGCACATCTCCATCACGTGCACGGCAGGAGACTAACTGCAGGGTTATTTTGGTCACACAGCCCTCATGTACTGGGCTCTTCTTCATCACATGCACACGTCATTTCTGGTAAAGAGTGAATAAATTACTGCAGTACTGGTGAGTACCTTCAGCTGAAGAAGCACAGGCAGTGAGACAGGTGTTCATAACGGGTATAATCCATGGTTACCCAGTGATACGGTCTACTCCACCAAAGTGTGTTTTTACAGTCACAGTGCTGTTGTTTGGTCAGCTAACTGCACGGTGACACAAACATTTTCATGATGGAGATTTATTTTCTTAATTGATTTTTGGTACTGATATCCAAAAGCTGGAGCAATTTTTTAATGACAATAATTGTCACTGATTTTAAATATTTACCAAATGCACTAATGTGTTACGTCCTGGTCCGTGACGTGTGTTATAAAAATAAATGTGTCTCAGGACAAAAACGTCAGCTGTCAAATGTTGTTGTACAGCTGAGTGACTGATTTGGCTCCGCCCTCCCGTGGGGCTGTACACCTCTAACAATGGTTTGATGACACTGTCGTGAAAAGTTTTATTTAGGGATGTATTACTTACATTAGAGACAGTCACCTCAGTGGTACTTTAGCTTGGGTAACGTTGCTAATGGACGATGTGTCCTTTTTTTTTAAAGCCCATTTAAAAGCGCATTAAAGTGTGTGAACAATATGTTCAACAATCTGTTGAACCAGCCCTGCACATTCACTAAAGTTTCTGATGAAATGTTCCGTTCAATACAACAATCATTAGGACGTAGCTGCAACAATTAAACATAAGTCAACGTGCTATAAGATGATCAACCCCGATACCTACAACGAGTCCCCTGACCCTGCTGCGGCTCGGACGTCTTTTCTTATTGACTTTGCATTTAGTCTCCTGTGTGTGCATAGATTTTCTCCAATTTGCTCCCAGCGACAGTTCAAACTGAGCAAAGGTGTAAATGTGATTGTTAACAGTTATATGCTTTGGCAATAAAGGCGTATCGCACATTAGCTCAATGCTAGCTGCCATTGGTTGTCGCTCCTTCACGACCCTGAAGTGTTGGAAGACGACAGAGACGGAGCTGGAGCTCTGCTGTTTGCTAATAATCACAGATGTTCTGACAGGTTTTCACACAACAGTTACCATAAGAAGACAACGACTCTAATGAATCACTGGGACATTCACCTGCTCGCCTCACTTCATCTTCTAAAGTTCATTTGAGGTTTGAGGAAGTGGTGGGAGAACTTGTGTGGTTCCGTTGCTCCGTTCTCCCCGCGTTCAGATTCTGTGTTCGACATCATTATAAAAATTAATGTACACCATTAGTGCAGCCAAACGCAGCTCAATAAGAAACTGAGAGCAAATTAAGGTTTGTCCTGGGCAAAGGGACATATTTTAATTCTCACTTCAATATATGGAATTTCATCATTTGCATAACCTTGACTTTTTAATAAGCTCTCACAGTTGAAGGACAGAGGTGTAGCCGGCGAATTATATTACGTATCCTTCATCTGCATGCCACGGCCGATTCAAGCCTACGCAAAAGAAATGTGGATTTTTCTATCAAGACGTCCTCACGTTACTGCACTTCAGATATCAGCCACACACTCCACTCTGACAGGGGCTTCGACCTCTCGGTTTTTTTTTTCTTAAACCAATATTTAGACATGTTAACAAGTCTGACTGGACACCACGGAGGTAAGCACGACCATGTAAGAAACACGACAAGCAAACACTCGTCCACTAGGAGATAAGAGCCTTTGATGGGGTTCATTCTGGTTCCATTAATTCTACTCTCATTCTGTTCAAAGTCATTCACAGACGCCATTATTCAAAGAGAAAATTACACCATAATCTATAACCCATGAACCCTCCTATATATATGATAAATGTAGGCTGGAGGAGGGAGACCTTCTTCACCCTTTGTACCAAGATAGAAATGATCATTTGTAACTTTTCCCCCCCCCTGGAGTGGACTCAAATAGTTCCATGAAGCTGAGAGCTGGATCCAGGACTGTAAACAGGAAAAATAACAAAACCTCTCCTCCTGTTCAATCATTAGTTTGAATGATTTCTCTACTCCAGGAATTAGCCAACAGAGCACAGCTCAAGAGCAGACGGCTCCTGTTAAATGACAGACGCAGAGTTTGATCAAATCTGGCAGCTTCTCATCTGTTCCCAGGAGGCATTAAACACTGATCCTGCCGATCGAGAACCGCATCAAAATTTGAATTTTATGTTATTTGCTGTTCTTCTGAATGTCACTTTCACTTCAGTCACTACCTGTACCTGTAAAATAAGAATAAATAATGCATGGTCACAGTGGGGATTACAAGTTTTCATTTCGGTTATTGAGAAGAAGCTTTCGTTAAATTAATTTCCGTGAGCTTCGTGGCATCTTTGATGCTTTACGTCCATCCATTCATTTGTTTTCTACCGACCTAATGCTTTTTCAGCGATTCAAAACTTTGGGTTTTATGTTTCTCTCTTCCTCCCTGAACATGGACACTGTCACAAAGTTCAAGTTCAGTTACTTCCATTTAACCTGATTAAGTGAATCACATGATCAGGTCACATGATCAATCACATTAAAAACCCAAGCTGAACTGGGGCCTGAACCAGTGATAACTAAAAATGATAATAAGCTGAACACTATAGTTTTCATCAGCTGATACTAGTAATGTCAAAATAAACACTACATTTATGTGATCCTTCATGTAAATAATGTTTTTCTGAGTATATACACTCTAAAATGTCTAGAGATTATAGAACATTTTTATTCATTCACACCTAAAAACAATCTGACTGGTATTTTTAGTTTTTTGGTTAAATTAAGAAGCCCTTTAAAACATGCCGTTCCGTTTTCTGTAGTAAAAACTGTGTTACTTAAATCTCACTCCACCTTCGCTGTTCACAACCCACACTGGAAAAAACAAAAACGACATCTTCTCGACTCAACCACAAACTGAGATGACTGAACATGGGCCTCAGGATTTGCGTCACACAGAGCGAGCAGACTTCAGAAGTCTGAATGAAACCAACCTCCAATCAACGCACACGTCATTTAACCCTTCAGTGACCGACGAACTCCATGAAGCAACTCTATAACAAAAAATATATAACTGGCGTTGTTAAAATACACAACTTGACCTATGACACATGTACACATACAGATACACACACACACACACACACACACACACAGAGTCGTTGCTACTGCCGGTATGGTTGGTATGCGTGTGCACCGAGGGCAGCGCCTCAGTGGCGCTCGTTTCCCGTTACACGTGCACAGAAATACCGTCACTGTTGTGGTTGCTGCTTTGAACACGCCTCATTAGAAAGTGCACAGCTGACTGTGTGTCTTCAACGTGTGTGTGTGTGTGTGTGTGTGTCATACTGTTACATCAGTTCCAGGGCCTTGCTGAAAAGCAGGGACGTCTGTTTAAAGATCTTACTGGAAATGGGATTAGAGCAGACCTCATCTCTCCTGTGGCAGCGCAGGGTAAACTCACTTCTGGTACACACTCAAGACAAATACTTAGTAACGTCAAATATTTATATACCGTGGAATAGGATAGAATAGAACAGATAGAATAGATCACAATTGTCTTGATAATGAATAAATAGTATTTATGAATATTTAGTTTTACTAAAAAAGTAGATACTTGTGTTTTGTAGACTTATGAAAAATGACGTCTTGAAACTACTTACTTGACAGGCTTGACAACATCTTAAAGTCAGTACATACAATAAAATCTGAAATTCTTAATGCCATGTGTTACTTTCACTTCCTGTGTTACTTTCGCTCTCATCATTGTACAAGTAAAAAATGTTAAGGTAAGTTAGGTCATGACGTCTCTTGTGGTGGGGTTTGACAGGGAAAAGAGGCTCGAGATCAGACCAAATAACATTACTGGATGTTTGTGGGCCATTTTATGTTAACATAAAATGCCCCTCAAAAAAACTTCAATCAGAAACCAGCTCAAAAAGTTACTGAAATGAAACAAAGGCAACAAATAAAGATAAAGTAATACTTAATAATACACAAAAACGTAGCTCTGAAATATGTAAAAATCGGATTAATTGATTTATTAATTCATTTATTAATTCATATAATTTAAAGTGAACAGTTAGCCAAAACTTTAGCCAAAAGATACTTTAAAGAAGAATACAGACCTGCCATAAAAATTAACTGAAAACATACTGGATAAAAAGGAAAAAACACCAACCAAAAAGGTAATGTTTGAAAAGGGCTAAGCTCTCCGCTGCTATGCTAAGCTAACAAACACGCTTCATTTCTCTGACCAAACTAAAAACTAAAAGCTGGCTGCTGTGCTACTGTTTTCCCCAGATGTTAATGTGTTTTTTACTTAGGGGCAGAGTAACTTTCAGCATCACTTATAAACAAGTGCTGGGTCGACGCAGCAGCCTCTTTGTAGCCTCATTGTGTGTAAATGTCTTTGTGTGCAAGTGTGTACAAGAGATCGAGTGACACCTCAACAAGTGAAGCTCATAAATATTAATAGGGGCTTCATGAATATTCAGTGGATGAACTATGAATATTTAAACTATGATGGAGCATGTGGCTGGCTGACTCGACAGCCACAGACACGAAACAGACAAATAGACCTTCTCCTCCTTTGCTTCTTCACCTCGGAGAGATGCGGCGACGCACTCTCTCTTTCAGGCCACATTAATCCTCATTAAGAATACATAATTTTTTATGATTTTGTTTTCATGAGAACTGCGGCTCGGTAATAAGACTAATGATCTCTGTGATGTTTCTCAACAGACACGCAACATCTGATGAGCTCAACCAGATGACTGGTGCCTTCGGTTTTGTTTTTTTCTCCCCACATATGTGCATACATGTACTGTAAGTACGTTTAAGATGCTACATCCACACCAGGAATATTCTATATACTTTATACTAGTATTTTCATCCAATTATCTGTACCACTTTCTAATTTTTTGAAGCCATGCCTTTGCAGTACTATTTAGGCAAAGTACACGTATGTACACACAGTTAACCAGACCATCAGAGAGCCACATGTAGAAACAAACAAATCTTCCTTCCAGTCTGCACTACATTAGACAGTAAAGCTACACACATCCGTTACAACCACATGGAGAAAACGCTAACTCGGAACAATCCAGTCTTCCACACCGTCATCCTGACATATTCTCCTTTATGTTCCTTTATTCTAAAGAAAGCAGCACTGTGTGTTGACAGGAGGTGGAGCTGGAGCTGTCAGGGCGGATGATCCATGAAACATCTTCACCAACAGCTTAACTATTGTAAATGGAGACACACGGGTGCAGTGGAGGACGTGAGGACGGGTGGACTCACCATACTGTACAGGAGACAAAGGTCAGTAAGACGACGAGTGTCTCCCCCTGAAAGACACAAGTGAAATATGATGAAGCGATTGTCCAACTAGATCCACTCCAACTGTACTAAAGCCATTCATTTAACAGGATCAAACCACTATGATTTAGAAACACTGACTGGAAATCAGATTAAATTACAAATTTGAGATAATACTAAACAAATAAATTTTGAAGATGCCCCACCACCACCACCCGCCCCCGGGCTTTAGAAACATGAGGGTGACATTAAACTTCAGCATCTGTGTTATTCATCATAATAAGGAGACCGAGGAAGAGGAAGTGACTCATTTTCAGCTACACAGAATTTTATTATTTCACCAAAATGTCCCTTTATTTTTAAACTTTTTGAGCTTGATCATCTACTGGTGACTTTTTGATTACTTTAATACATCTGGTACACTAGTTGTCTTTGACCTGAATTTATGTCTGTAATTTCGCTTTGAAGAAAATGTTCTGCCACGCATCATCGACACACACTACTTCTTACTATATATTTAAATTATTAAAACACATACAATGTATAGCTGACTGTGTAAATATATGTTTTATTTATGTTTCTGCTGTAGGATGTATCTAATGTATAAAAAATTATATATATACACGCATACATATACATATATATTTAACATATATATATTTAACTGACCTTAGTAAATTCTGGTGCTTTAATCAAAGGTTGTCTATCAATTTGATAAGAAAAATAAATTTTAAGCCAAACATTTAGTTATCAAATATTTTAAAAACGTTCTACTTACTCCTTATTTTTAAAAAACAAAAACTTAAAACCATTCTTTGCCTTACCTTGACTTATGGATGAAGTCCGTGGTTGTATCTCTCGGTTTTCCATCACCTCGTGGAGGCTAATGTTTAGTCTTCGTTGTTCATCCAAGGCAAAATCGATCCTTGAATTTCCAGAAGTTTCGAAAGAAACTTGGCTTTGAATGTGCGTGGCCGATGTTTCATGTCTGCTGAGACAAGGACAGCGGTAAAGGTGGTTTCTTACGGGACAGACACACAGCCAGTCTTTTCTTTTGTACCAATATATTTAAAAAGAACGACTCTTCTGTTTTGAAGCTAACCTTTTAGCTCCAGCGTCACTTATCATCTCCTGTTTAGACCGGAAGTCCAGTTGTGAGGAGTGTTTCCGTCTTGTAATACAGTCCGTCCAATCAGGCAGAGCATAGAAAACGCTGTTCTTCACCTGCTACTGGCTCTAACGTCAGTTCACGTACGACCCCTTGAGGTGAAGCAGAGTACTGTTCGCCTCCTCTGCTGATTTTTCTCTGCACTTCATTGGCTGAGGAACAGAAACTGGCAAGCATATATAACACAGATTAGTGGAAAGTATTAATATTTATTTTATGTACTTTTTTCTTTTTTATCATGATGGCAGGTGAGGCACTGCAGGGGATATATTATATATTATATATTATATATATAAAGGATAGAACACAGTTGGAGCACATTAGGTAATCATGGGAGGTGCAAACAGGGGAATTAGTCGGTGAGAAAGACAACAGGGAAACAAGAGGCAGGAGGAGGAGGAGGCATGATGCTCCCTGAGGAGATCCAGAGGAGATTAGCTGCATCCAACCTTCCCTATCATTTCCTCTCACTGTTAAACCAACGATCTTCTAATCCTTTCTATCAGTCCATGAGTGAGGTGATCTCCTCTGCAGCTCCACCTCCATCGGGGGAGCTTTCCTCGTCCAGTCTCTGTTCGACACGTACATAAATCATGTTAATTAATCACTCGTTCTCTGCGGTCCTGGTACCAATTGTAAGAATGAACCACGGGTTGAGGACTGTGGCACTACCCTTTCCAACCAGCAGGGCACAAGTGATTGTAATAATGCTCTTTGTTGAAGAATCAATTCACCAGCTCATCACCAGCTCTCAGCCTGGTTCAGACTGGATATTTACACGAAGACGTAATTCTACAGAACAACTGTGTTGTCACCTCACACACTGCTGCACCCTGTGGGTGGAGGAGCCATCGATTCACCACACCTCACCAACCACCGACCACCACCACAAGTCTGATCCTAAACCCAGCAGGTCAGGATGGACCTGAACAGACGACCATCACTAACTGCCTTCATGGTTGGTTTTAGCTCTGTGTGCTCAGCAGCTCACTTTTGTTACCAAGAAAACTAAGAACTGCAGCCCAAGTCCTGACTCAGTGCCCTGACGAGTGGTTTTGGTTTCTACTGTATTAGCTCCAGTCACTGTTGAAAAAAAAAAGACAAACTCATTTGTAAGCTCATTTTGCAGGGTTTACTCTGCTTCCTCCTGCAGCTGTACGTTCTGGTATGGAGGTACCTGGGGTAAAAGACAAAAAGAAAAAAAAGTGTACAAAGCTCTGATGTAACTCCCCAGAGAAGGTGGAAGAAGAATTTAGATGCAGTGCGTCAGCAGTCAGAAATACAAAACCATGAGCACAGTAAGGACTAAAGTGGGTCCAAACGTGGGCTGGACTCAGAGAGTGCTCTCACATTGTTCCAGCAGCAGAGAGCACAACACAACAGTGAAGGGTGAGGTGATGGGGGAGGAGGGGGAGNTAATTTGATTTTCTGATCAATAAGACTGACTCACGCTGGACCCAGGACAGTCTGAGCTCTGAGGACACGGGGCTCACGTTTGAATGTGCGTGAATGTGGCCTCCTACACACACACGCGCACACACACACACACACACACACAATGAAGAATGAGTGTGAGGGTGAAAAAAGTGCAGCTGTCAAGTGATAGACCTCAGCAGCGCAGTGGCTGTGTGGGTTTGTGGTCTATAACGGATGTTTGACAGGCTGATGAGCTCTGGCTCTAACACACTGCTTCCTCTACATGTTCTCCTCCTCTTCCTCCTCTTCCTCCTCCTCCGCCTCCTCTTTCTTCTCCCTCTCTGCCTGTTTTCTCTTCTCTTTCGGTGGTGTGCGTAAAATCCCTCCTTTTCTTCCTAAATGTCGTCTTTCCAGCTCCACTCTCGTCTCCCCTGCTCCCAGAAACCCTCCTGTGGTCTTGGAGTGTGACAGGTCGTCAGAGGGAGGAACACAGAGGGAAATCAAAACAATCTCCTCAATTAGGCAGCCTACACACACGTGCGCCTGAACTCCATAACATCTCCATCGGCTGACGCCGTTTTTCATCCGTCCGTCGCAGACACCTTTGTTTCACAGATGAAAACACTCTGTTTCGAAACAAAGGCCGTGAAAAAACCATTTCGCTTTGAAGAACAGAAAGCCGCAACAAGCTTTTGAGGTTTATTTGCATCGAGAGGAGAGAGTCGGTTTTATTTCATTATTTTTTTTATTTTTTTTTTTACTCTGCCTTAATTGACCCATCACAGATTCACAAAGGCTACACGGCAGCCACTAATGCGAGGGCATCCCAGATGCAAATGGATGTCTGTCTGATTTTGTTAGAAGATCTGATATAATCTCAGGTTTGAAAAGAAGGGACATCGGCAGCTTAGAGGCAGTTAACGAGGGAAGAGGAGAGAGGGGGGAGAGCGGGAGAGAGGGGGAGAGAGGGAGAGGGGGAGAGAGGGAAGGGAGACTCTGTAATTATTACAGCTCATTGAGAAGGAGAAGATCCAGTTATGTTACTGATGAAGGGAAGAGATGCTGTCTTAGGTTGAAACTGGAGCCAGAAGAACATGAGAGGATACTGAGGGATCTTCCTGAAATAATTACCATAATTGAATTAATACAATTCACAGTCTGACTGTGCCTGCACAGGTCGTCCAATATGTTGGTTTTATTGAGATTTGTGAAATAGGGACTTGAGTGGAAAATTGGATTGGGAAAGGCAGGGAGAGAAGTTTAACCCAAAGAACACTGACCCCACAGCGAGGTGAGGGGGGACACTGTGAAGATGAGTCCCATCAGTGTGGACACAACAAACAACAGGAGGGGGCAGTGGTGTTTCCTCAAAGCTACAGTGTCATCAGAACAAGTTATTTTTGGGCAGGATCCTCAGAGGTGGACTTTCCTTTAGTCTCCACCTTCTCTGAAGTTGATTACAGGATGTTAGAAGAGAACTTATTTGTTGGTGTGGGAAGAACCAGGGCGTAGACGGAACCCAAACACAGCACTGTGGAGATAATGAGCAGGTCCAGGAAGTGTGTTTAAAAAACATCACATGATTGAATTTGTAACCAGGACACAGATCAGAATTCAAATTAAAAAATCATTTACATTGATCTTTTTATTATTAGTAAAAGACTACGACGACATCCAGACTCAGCGTTCTTCCCTGTAATTCTCCTCGTGTTTCTTCTCTGTATAACTTCCTAGCTAACCTCCGTGTGTGTGTTGCCTCACCTGGAGTCAGACACACAGGACTGGGTTTGTTTGTAGCTACTGTACATTTACTGTAGTACCTGGTACACAGACTGTACTGTACTGAGTAGCTGACACTTACTGACACTAATGAACTCCTGGAGCAAAAACCTGAGAACTCTCAAGGCATGAACTTAAAAACCTCAACTGAAAACACTAGGATGTTGGAGTATATTATGATAAAGTGTTTTTATATTTCACCTATGTGTAGAAAAGGCTTATTTGAATACCTTTATCTGCTACATTGTGTATATAGAATGTAGCTTGAGGCTAACACAGTCATGTAACCTTAATTATAGCTAGTTTGGGGTCAAACCTTGTTACGTTATTTAGTGTTTTTGGATTGTTTATATATATATAAATCAAACAAATCTTTTTGTGTGTGTGCAGATTTAACCCTAATCCAATCGGGAAATGTTCTCATAAAACTTCATGCTGGTGTGTGTGTGTGTGTGTGTGTGTGTGTGTGTGTTCACAGTCTCTTGGCTCCAGTGTCACTGAGCTGCCTGCTAACACCAGCATGACTAAGTGGCAGAGAGTCACATAATCGAGACAGAAGGTGAAACAGGAAGTGAAAGTACGACATGGGAGTGAAAGAGGAAGTGACTAAGAGTCCATACAGGATCCTGGATCCTGGTAATGGTGTATTAATACCAGTGGTGCAGTGCAGCATATAGAACCTGGGACCTGGAGGGGTTGGTACCTGTTGATGCAATCAGTGGTGAACATCTTGACTTTTCTCTCCTACCTCCCATCTGTCTCCCCTGCTCTTGCTGTCAACCTCCCCTCTCTCTCTCTCTCTCTCTCTCTCCCTCACAGCCTCATCCTTCCTCTCCTCGTTTGTAACATACACGAGTGGGGTGAGAAAATGCCGCTGCTGCAAAAGTCAGTCCTCAGAGATGAAGTCAGAGTGTGGCTGTCTGCTGTGGTGTTTCTGCCTTATTTTCACTCAGTCACTCATGTCGTCTCAGAGCCATAGTTCAGTCACGCCTTCTGTTCCACTCTGGTTCCAGGAGTTTATCCTGCACGTGACACAACAATAGTGATTTTATTTCTGTGCCTCGACACGGTGGAAACACTTCACCTGACCTTCAGTTCACTGCTCTTCACTGTACGGTTTAAGTTCAAGCACAAAAACGAACAGGTTGACATTTGAAAGATATTGGTTGACGGCTGTGACAAACTTTCTTTCAAGCACCATTTTTTTCCTCACCCATCTTCTTCTTCTTCGCCTGCATACATCCTCCTCCTCCTCCCAGTTTCTCCCATCTCCAGAAGCTCAATCATCTCCCTCCCTCCCTTCCTCCCTCCCTCCCTCGTTCCCTCCCATTGTCTAAATAATCTTGTCCACTTATGACCGGCCCTTTGTCCTCCTCTTGCGTCTCCTCCTCTGTGATTGACCTGAAGCCCCGGCACTAGTTTGACAGCCGTGGACATCATGACCATAAGCTGAGTTGCAGGGCTATTTATATTTGTTCCTAATGAGGTGAGATTTCTCTCCGCCATAGCAACAGTCTCTATGGATACCCTGCACTTGGATACCAGATCCCATCCTGTTTTAAACGTCTTATTATGGGCTGTGCCTTCCCCTCGTGTATTTGCAGCCTAATTAATTCTGAATTATCACCCTCAGCTGTGTGAATGGTGCAGAAGTGCCGTGAAATCACTGCAGAGTTGACCCTGACCCCCGCGCCCGTTTACCTATGACATAAACACAGGTTACGGCAGCACTCCCGCTAAAGATTACTGCTGGTTATTTTGGTTATTTATAACATACAAAAGCAAATCTTTTTTTTTTCATCTCAAAGAAAAACGTTGGGTCACTCTTTGATGTTTTCAGATGGAAATTATTGCGCAAGAATAAGAACTAATCAACATACCAGGGTCATTCATGAGCATCAGACGAACGCCTCCAGAACATCGGTTTGTTGATCAGAACCAGAGAGGAATGAACAGAGTTGAAC